TTCCATCGATTTCTTTAGTGAAAAACACAAGTTCAATTGACCTTTCAATTACATTATTTACAGTGATTAATTATCATAGGTTAATAGCAAAGGGGTATAACTCTTTCAGTAGAATACAAATTAGTAAATTGACCGAGTGGCGCAAAATTTAAAAACTCTGGTAAAAATACCCTTGCATATTACAACTTTATATACTCTTTTTGCTTCCTAGATGTCCGTGGTCAGAGAAGAAGATTTTCAAAGAAATAATGGATTTTTACTTTATATTCAGAAGAACCCCACCCCAAGACCAGAACCCCTGACCGAGGGGTTATGAATTTAACTTTTTGAAAAGGCATCCTTGCTCAACATAACCATGCAATTCGTTCGACTATTAAATACCCAGAGTCAGAGAACTAGATTTTCAAAGAAATACTGCATTTTCACTATATATTCAACAGACCCCACCCCACCTGAACCCCTGACCCTGGGGCCAAAAATTTCACAATTTTGGAAGAGATATCCTTGCTCTTCATAACCATGCACTTAGTTTATCTGCTAAATACCCAGGAGTAGAGAAGATTTTCAAAGAATTAATGCAATTTCTCTATATAATTACAATGCTGGTTCGGGTCTCAAGGGGTGATACTTATGCCACTAGGTCTCACCACTTAAAACCTTGAGTTAATGCCCACCGTCTCTAAATAGGTTCTGCCAGCAAGTCACATGCCACACCTCCTCGTGGTGACCCTGGAAATGCTTTAGTAGCTAAGTGGCAGTGGCAAAAGGCGAGTGTCCGGCGCCTTGAAATAACTGGAACCCGTGGCTAAGGGAAGGATACCCTGACAGAAAACCACTGGCTCTCCGAGTCCAGGGGGTTGAGCTTAGGGCTAACAACCCTAACTCATAAAAAAGTATTGTTACGGAAACAGTAACGAGGAATATCTCTATACCTGTGAATGAGAGCCTCTCTGGGACCTGCACTGGAACCAGTATGACTGTAGGTAGTGAAAGCCATTGGGAAACTACCAACACGAATAGGGAGGCCCTTAACACGGCCAAGACTAAGATCAAAATAGGATTCTGGAATGTACGTTCTATGTATGCAATCGGTAAATTAGCACAAGTAACAGCCGAGATGAGAAGATACAACCTGCACGTGCTGGGAGTCAGTGAAAGCAGATGGACTGATTCAGGGAAAATACGTACAACAACAGGTGAAACATTACTGTATTCTGGTCGAGAAGATGGACAACATCATGAAGGGGTTGCAATTATTCTCAAAAAGGAAATTGAGAAGTCTTTAATGGAATGGAAGCCAATCAACAGTAGATTGCTAACAGTACGGCTTAGAGGAAAGCAAGTCATCATGACATTATTCCAGTGTTATGCACCCACTAACGATGCAGATGAAGAACATAAAAATGCTTTTTTATGAACAACTACGGCAAGAACTAGACAACACACCAGACCACGATATTAAGTCATCATGGGTGATATGAATGCTAAAGTCGGAGCAGATAATGAACTATACAATAGGGCAATGAGACGACATGGTTGTGGAAGCATGAATGAAAATGGAGAGAGACTTGTAGTTTTGTACCACCAACAACTATGTAATTGGAGGAACACTATTCCCCCACCAAAACATTCATAAGTTAACCTGGCACTCTCCAAACATGAGAGACAAAAATCAAATTGACCACATCATGATAAATGGAAAATGGAGACGATCATTATTGGATGTGAGGGTGAAGAGAGGTGCCGATGTTGATAGCAATCACCACCTGGTAACAGCAACTATCAAACTAAAACTGCGTAGCACAGAGAGAAAGAACATGGCAAGAAAGAAATTTGATGTGGATAAACTTAAAGACATCAAGGTACGACATGAATTCAACATCATGCTCAAGAATAAGTTCGATATATTACAAAATTTGGAACCAGAGGACAACATACATGTAACATCAATCGACAAAAAGTGGGAAAAAATTAGCAACATCTACACTGAAACTGGTGAGAAATGTATTGGTTATAGGCAGAAGCATAAGAGTAAAGACTGGATAATGCCTAGAACGTGGATAATGATTGGCCCAAGAAGAGATGCCAAAAAGAAAGTAAATGAGGCCAAATCTCTGAGACTTAAAGAGAGACATCAAAGGGAATACAGTGAAATAGAGAAGGAAGTGAAAAAGGCTCTACGTGCAGACAAGAGAGCACACATAGATGACCTAGCAACAAAAGCAGAAGAGGCAGCCAACAGAGGAGAACAAGGAAACCTTTACAAAATAGCCAAGGCACTGAGAGGCAGGAATAGACCATCTCCCAATCTACCTGTCAAGGACAAAACAGGAAAGTTGCTGTCATCAGAACAAGAGATGGAGGAACGATGGACAGAGCATTTTAAGGAAATCTTAAACAGACCACCTCCAACTCATGAACCTGACATCAGTTATCCAGCAAATGACCTAAACATAAGCATTGAACCACCACAAATTCCAGAAATTGTCTCTGCAATACAAAGTCTAAAAAATGGAAAAGCCCCTGGATATGACAACTTAAATGCAGAATTGTTCAAAACAGATCCACTTCTTACAGCCACAATTTTACAGCCAATTTTCCATGACATCTGGGAAAGAAACACCATACCAGATGAGTGGAACCATGGAGTTATCATTAAAATACCAAAGAAAGGCAACCTAAACGACTGCAACAATTGGCGAGGAATAACACTGCTTTCCATCCCAAGTAAGATCATGGCTAAAATCATCATCAGAAGGATATCCATAGCTGTAGATGTCAAACTGCGTAAAGAACAAGCAGGATTTAGGCCAGGGCGAGGATGTATTGATCAAATATTTACACTAAGAAACATCATTGAACAGTGTACAGAATGGCAACGACAGTTATATATTAATTTTATTGATTTCGAAAAAGCCTTCGACAGCATTCATAGAGACAGTCTCTGGAAAATTGTGCGGTCATATGGCATCCCACAACATCTAATAGATGTCATCAAGAGTTTTTATGTCAACTTCAGATGCAGAGTTGGAAACACCAGCATCGAGTTTGACGTTAAAACAGGAGTCCGTCAAGGCTGTGTAATGTCATCAACACTCTTCATCATAGCCATTGACTGGGTCATGAAGAATACAACATCTGACATTCCGAGAGGCATCAGATGGGGTACATTTACAACACTAGAAGACCTGGACTTTGCTGATGATATAGCCTTATTCTCCCACTCCCACCAGCACATTCAAGACAAAACCAGCAGGCTACACAAATATGCAGGAAGCATTGGACTGAAGATAAACACCAAAAAAACAGAGGTCATGACCCTAAATGTAAACAACCCACAAGCGGTCAAAGTGGAAAATCACATCCTTCCATGCACCAACACCTTTACATACTTGGGTAGCAAAGCAACAACAGATGGTGGAGCAGAGACCGACATCAAAGAGAGACTATCCAAGGCAAGAGCAGCTTTTAACAACCTACATACTGTTTGGAGATCAAGTCAGTACACAACAAGAACAAAGCTGAAACTATACAAAAGCTGCATTCTACCTATCCTTTTGTATGGATCAGAGTGTTGGAGAATGACAGAGAGCGACCTGAACAAGCTGTCAACATTTTATACAAAGTCCCTGAGAAGGATCTTAAGAATATTTTGGCCCAATACCATCTCAAATCAAGACCTTCTCAACAGGTGCAAGCAAGAGGACATGGCCACAATCATCATCAGAAGACGCTGGAACTGGCTTGGCCATGTACTTAGAAGGGACTCGGACAGCAACATAAAGACAGCTCTCTTCTGGACACCAGAGGGAAAACAGAAGAGAGAAAGGCCCAAAGTCACTTGGCGGCGGACAGTGGAAGCTGAACTTAAAGAACAAAAGAGAAGCTGGGGCACACTCCAAAAGCTAGCCAGTGATAGACAAGGATGGAGAACCCTCGTTACTGCCCTATACGCCAAAGGCGTCACGGGCAGTAAGTAAGTAAGTACTATATAATTAATGGAGCCCATTTGTCACCAAGATGAAAATTCTGAAACTTTATTGCACATCTACAAGACACCACCAAAAATAACCCAAAAGGTGATTTGGTTACAGCGTAAAATATAAGAGGAATTCTGGAAACCATGGCCCGTAGTCCAGTGTCATGCTCTCCCAAGCATTTTATTCTAAATTTGATACATGTACATTATTAGAAAAACTTGTGGCTTCTTCACTCGTTACCCAAGTACGAAGGAGAGTACATTTAGATGCACACACTTAACTGCTGCATGGTACATGTATTACTGTCTTTTAACAGCATCTAGATTGCTTAATGTGGGACAGTTTTTAAAACTCGAGTAAAGCCAGTGTCTTAGCAAGTGCATCTAAATGCGAATATAAGACAGTAATACCTGCACGCAAGAGTTTGCCTTTAAACGTACTCTCCTGGATAACTAGAGAAGAAGCCACAAAAGTTATTCTATAATTTACAAATATACATGTATCAAAATGTATGATTAGTGGTGTCCTGTAGATTTGCAATAAGATTTTGGAATTTTTGTTAAGGTGGACAATTTGGGGCAGGAAATTAATTTTTTTTTTTTTTTTTTTGCAAAAACCTCCTTTCCAAAAACACCTTAAAATTTCAGACTGGTAGTAAATTTATTACTGGTATATGAAATACTAGTATGACGCCCATGGGCCACATGCTCACCTGAGTATTTTATACTCTATTTGATGCATGTACATGTAAATGTAAATTGTACGTAGAATAACTTTTGTGGCTTTTTCACTAGTTACCCAAATAAATGCACATTTAACAGGCAATCACTTTCATGTTGGTATAACTGTGTTACGGCAGCATCTAGTATTCAATGTTTTTTTTGTTTTTGTTTTTTTTATCTGAACTTTTCAATAGGAAATATGACCTGTGAAATAGGTAAGTCTTAGAATTCACTGTTTATCTCCAATATGCAGAAGAGAATAAAAACAATCACATGTAACATGAAGAAAATACCTGCATGTAATTGTCATATGAACATTTTTATTTGCCAAATGCAAATATATAAAGCAGTACAATACATGTAAATAAAGTGTACAATAGATAAAAAATGTAATTTATTTGGACGGATTTGATACATGTATTAGTAATGAATTGAATGTCATCTCTTCTGCTGTTCACATAATGAGATGCAGTGCATGTTGAACTTACTAAAATGTGTTCTACAATCATAAGAATCCTGATACATTAAAAAGTGCCCCGTTCTACAAAAGAAAAGACATTGACCTCTCTATCAGAACAATACACTTCTTGCATCATGAAAAGGTTTTGGAATGTCCTCCTAAAAATCCCATTTATTTACAGATTCTTTGTCTAAAAAATGTTTCCTTTCAATGTATAAAGTATAAAACTTCTTTCATCGGAAATCAAACTTTTCAGATGTTAATAAATCAAGTTGAAGACAGCTATAGAAACAATATTGTGTGGTACCCTCTGTATCAATAAACTGTCTGTGTATTAGCTCTCTGTGCCTCTTTACTTCTCCTCTCACATAATCTACGATATCTCTCCAACTCCTTAAAAAGAATAAAACAAATGTCAAAACTAGTTATTCAAAAACTCTGATCATACTTTGTACTACATGTACTTCTGTTATTTTAACAAATTAACATTGTTTTCACCTCATCTTTCTGTGCTCGGAGTGAATCAATGGCTGCCTCCTGGTACTGAGGGTCTTTAGCAGGGTCATCTACTAAGGCAGGGTTTGATATATCCTGTGGATTGTAAATAAGAAATGCTGCATTGCAGTATATTTACATTTGCCAATGTCTTTCCTTATTAAACAATACAAATTAAATTGACATTCAATTTTCAATGACAAGAAGTTGGTCATGTGATCAGATTTTCTTGCGTATGTAAAGCAAACCGCACGAGATATTTGAAAGTCTAGACTGTGACATCACATGACGTCATACAGTATATTATGTTGCATTTCCATAACAATGTCTAAATAGTGCATTTTTTCTTTGTAACACAAATAAAAATATAAATATAAGAAATAAAATATCATTTGTTAGAGTTTCATAGGGACGTCATGACATGGTGTTGGTACATGATCAAATCTACTATAATACCCTTTGGGCATAATAAGATTTGATCACATGACCAACTTCATGTCATAAGCCAATGAAACTCTAAAAATGATATCTTATTTCTGAATTATCTATTTCTTCTTTCAGAATACAGTGTATCTGTCACTATGCTGAAATGTTAAAATAGCTATACTTCATAAAACAGTTATTGTGAAATGAACCAAACTTACATCTTGTGGGAAAAATCCTGTAAAAGCATGCTTCCATAATTGCATAGGATTCCTGTAAATACATTTTAAGTCATTGTCATAAAGACCAGCTTAAATAATTTCTGGAAAAATATTCTGTAGAATCATGTTTACCTCCACATACAGCTGGTGTCAAGGGCACCAAACATGCTTGATCAAGTGAACTGTTTGATACACGTATCATCAATGATTTCATTTATCATTAATGGATAAAGGGATTTAATTCCAACAGAGACTTACTTTGCATGGACTCTACCAATGTCTTTGTCGGATAAAGGAGGAGTACCTATCAATATGATTAAAGTGAACAGTGATCTATCTGCAACTTTTGTTTCATATTTAATTTATAAAAAAATATTAGCAAATATGAACATTTTTTAACCCACTAAATCAAAATAAATCATGCAGCAAAAGTATGAGAATAAAATCTGTTTACATGTCTGATTCATTTTTTAGAAAGGAAAATCACTAATTTCACAATTGTAGTACAAAAAATGTATACATAAAGACACACACCTATTTGTTGTAAAGAGTCATGTCCAGCTGCCACAAGGAGAGGTTTGTTGTGGTCTACTTGTAGAGATTTCCTGTAAATCATTGACAGAATCAGAATACAAACATCAAACTAGAGGTACTCCGAGGCACTGAGCTCATACCCTCTCTCCAATGTGAGTATAATGACAAAGTCCATGTTTTGCAATGGGAATTAAACCCCAAATATCTGTCTGCATGATCCGAACATAAAACAGGAAGTGCACAATGGCACTTTGTACTATAGATTCTATGAAAGTCTGATTAAATTTTATTCACTGGTATAGGAGGATTGTGGATAAGAGATGGGTACCCCAATATTGTAGAAAGAATGGCAGTGTCCAGGATTTGCTACAGGAAACCCCAAATAACTGTCCGATTGAAACAAAAAATAGGAGTGCAAAATGACACTATATGTAATGAAGATTCTGTGAAAGTTTCATAAAATTTTATTCAGTGGGATAAGAGGAGTTGCAGATAAGAAACGGGTATCCTCTGTGTTATAGAAAGAATGGCAGTATCCATGTCTTTCTGATTGAAATAAAAGATAAGAGGTGCACAATGGCATTATGTAAGAAAAATTCTGTAAAAGTCTGATAAGAATTTATTCAGTGGTATAAGATGACTTGCAGATAAGAGAGGGTATCCAAAGTGTTTGGATGTACAGATGGACCCCCCCATCACTAAACACCGTCTGCTTTTCAAGCAGGAGGTATAATGTATGAACTTTTGCATTAAAGCAATATCATTTGAATCTTTTAGAGTTGTAGAGACATTTAAAAAACTGTAATGTTAATACCCCTACTCACCCCATAGTTGTCCCAAACAAATGATGACTAATGAGCCCTCTCATTCTCATAACCAGCTGCTCCTGTTTCAGTCCAAAAAACTACAAGTAGAAAGGAAGAATAAATCTTATTGCTAACATATATGAATGTACACAAAAAATGAAAAGTTTCTGTTCTTATCAATTAATAATTGCACCATTTGTATGTGTATATATTTGCATTAATTACCTGTAATGTTGCACCATTTGTGTGAGCAATAAACCTCAGAGTCTTGCATATAACTTTTCTCTTTTCTGAATCAAAATCCTACCAAAAAATTCAATAGCAATTACTATTGTATCTATTGGCTAGAATTTTCAAACCACACTCTTTGTTACAAATACTAGATAGATATGCTTTGTATTGTTCATTGAATTATAAGAATTAAGATACAACAGATCTTATTTGTTACATAAATTATCCACTTTTTTTAAATCACAAAATACAAAGATTCCTCAAGAAATATAACTTACCTGAAACACATCATATTTTCCTCCTATAATAATCAAAGGAATTAAGAAAGGGTCTATCATTGTCTTGTCCTGCAATAGGACCATAATTCATGAAAAAATTGCTTCAAAATAAAATTTATCAACAATTAAATTTGCATACAGCATTTGTATAAATAACATATAACTCACTCTACTAAGTTAGTTTTATTTTTAATGAATTTTTGAAAAAAAATTTGGACAAAACATGAAATACATGTAAATGCTGCAGTGAATATCTTAAATGCAGCTACAACAAATGGTAAAAATTAAAGGAGAAAAAATATACAGGTAATTTCAAATTGAATGACAGATGCAGGGGAAAACATGAACAAAATCAAGAGCTTTACTCAACATCCAGTTTACTTGTATTGTACATGAAAAAAAAAAAGCGGCCCTATGCTTTTCATGGAATCAAAAGGAAAAGGTCAAGTTATTCAATGCAGTGGAGCCTCATTTATCTGGACACTTTGGTTCCAGTAGTAATTGTCCATTTCCACCAAAAAAAAAAAAAAAAACGTCCAGAAGCTGAAGCATCTGGATATCTGAAGGTCCACTGTTTTGAAAAGTTGTGACAAATTGATATATATATATATAGGATCTCCCATGATTTGTAGTTGGATATGATTTTTATCCAACGAGTTGTGTGTTTTTTATCCCCGAGCCTTGGCGAGGGGATAAAAACACACAACGAGTTGGATAAAAGTCATATCCAACTACAAATCATGGGAGATTCTTTTTATCCCATGTTTAATACTTCACAACCAATGTTTTACACTGTTTTATATAGGACTCCACTTTATTTTACTTCATCGCGCTAACGCAAAAACCATTGTGACGTCACAACTGTGGATTATGAAAAATTTATCCAATGAGTCATATCCACGGGATAAAGGGGTAAACATGGGATAAATATATATATATATATATATATATATATATATATATATATATATATATATATATAAATTAAAATAAAATCCAAGATAAACAAACAAGTTCACATTTAATTATTACACTAAGCGCTTTTGCCGTGAGGCTCTTCAGAGTGTAACAAAGTTTATAAAAACAATACAACTTGGTTGTTATGACGTCGTTATTGTGACGTCATAAAGGCAGCATTATATATTGGCGCAGGTAAATGTCATTAGGGCGCCAAAAGTAGAGAATTGAACATATGTACATTGTGATGAAATAGGCTGCTAATTTTAAGCTATAATGTTCAATTTACATTTAGTTTAGGTTTAAATAATTTTACAAAGTAATCTTCCTTGGCTCTCCGTAATTGTTCATTATTTTCTAGAACTTTATAAAATGGAAATACTAAAAAGTTTCCATTCGCACATGAATCAAAATGTTCACTGCATGGCGTATTCCTGACAGAAGGGTCCCGTATTTGTTGTTTATGGACTCTTACGCGGTCAGCTAGTTTGTTACTGGTCTGTCCAATGTAGTTTTCCCCGCATGAAGTACAAGTCATACAGTATATTAAATTTTTAGATTTGCATGACATATTCGCATTTACGGTAAATGTTTTACCACATTTAAAAGTAAACTTCTCTCCTGTTTTTAAATAAGGACAGGTTCCACATAGGGGGTTCATACATTTGGCCACTGTGCGTATGTCTTCATTTGACGAAAATTTGGCTCTTGTAAGGAGTTTCTTCAGGTTTGGGGGGTTGGCGCCGGCTATAGATTATGCTCTTCAGGTCAATTAATTCCTTTAGATTTTGGGATTGTTGTAGAATGGGGAAACACTGTTTACGGAATGATACATATTAAGGTTCCGGGGGTTATGTGTAATGACAAGCGGGATTTCTTTATTGTTTTCCTGGGCCCCTGCTCTAATAGAACTCCGGAGATCTGTAGTTGGTATTGACTTGGCCCTTTCAATAGCGACGTCTATTAGATCATTGGGATATTTTTGTCTAAGTAAAAAAGTTTTCAATTCCTGTAGACGGCTGTTTCTTCTGTTTCACAATAACGACGTCATAACAACCAAGTTGTATTGTTTTTATAAACTTTGTTACACTTTGAAGAGCCTCACGGCGAAAGCGCTTAGTGTAATAATTAAATGTGTACTTGTTTGTTTATCTTGGATTTTATTTTAATTTATAACCTACCTATACCGTGGACTTTTACTACAATTTCACTATATATATATATATATATATATATATATATATATATATATATATATATATATATATATATATATATATATATATATTTGTTTGAGTTGTAAATAATTTTTCACAAATATCTTCCTTACAGAGTGTTCCTCTCCCACTCTTTCCCAGGCCTTTTTGTGTAACTTGTCCTTCAGACCAGGCTGTTCTTGCTTCATTTCCGTCAGAATGCTCTCTATTCTGGACTTGGCCGCTGCCAGCAAAGTCTCCAAAGTGAACCAGATCTCTGAAGGCTTGGACAAATCCACAACAATAGCTAAGGTAGTATGCCTACCAATAAAACAACAAAATGTCTAAAAACCACGTGCAATGTGACCTTCTAGTATATGGAGGTGGCCATATTGTGTTAAATGCACTCGTATGATTGTGCATGTTTACCTTATTGAAAAGAGATGTAAATACAGTTATACAAAAGATTCTCTGCTGGGACATTTTTTTCCTGGAGATTTTAGATAATTACAAATGTAGCATTTATAAAAAAAATGTTTGAAATTTGAAAAATTAAGAAAAACTGAACTAAATAATTTTAGATATACATTTAGTTTGTGTTTAGCTGAGTTAAAATTATTGTTTTCACTATTTGTTTAAGTACTAATTGTAATAGTAATTTATCTGTGATTTCATTCGATTTCTTTTCAGCACTTACTGGATTGTATCTGGATTAAGAGGCACCTCCATTAGCTTAGACAGCCAAGTACCCCCTCCTAATTCCCAAATGTGTCCTACATCTTTTGCCTGGCCAAAAGGATAAAAGGGCATATAAAGGACAGGCATACAAAAAAAAAACAACAAAAAAACATTCCGATCTTCAATCTCAAGAGCATATAAAATATGGAAAATCTAACTGCAGAAAAGAAAATGCTATCCATGTTTACAGAGTATATTTCTAAATACACAATGAAAGTTTGCAAAATATATCTTTAGATTTTCATTATCCATTCATTATACTTACAATATTGTGGCCTTTGGCTCTTCTACCAAATGTATATTCTAATGCCACTGTAGGCTTTGGTGCTTCATCTCTGTGTATAAAAATAAATATTAGACTATAGAAGTCATCTTCACTTCTTGATGATTTAATGTAAAAATGATCATTACTAGATATTGCAAAATATTCTCTATGTCTAGTTTTAAAATACTAATGATAAAGGTTGAAACATCATCATTTTCTTACTTGTTTATACATGTAATTAAAACAAACTTTTAAAACACACAGTGTAGTATTAACTCAATGTTACCTGTCTAGGAATCTAAGAATGATCGATGTTTTCCCCTAAAACAGTAAGGAATGTACTGATCAATATACATGTATATGCCTAATTTTCAATTACATGCAAATTATTTGCTTTTTGGATTATGTACTGTGTACATGTATAACTGTCCATATATTTAAATCAAAATCAAAATTCATGTGTTTATTATTTAATTCTTAAAAAGACAGAACATATCAAAATTTAATGGTATTCATTCATCAGATCACATACTGAATTTTTACTTCCAATGAAAAAGAGTGCTGCATCTTCACTTTTAGGTCCATCATCTGTTTAAGATTAGATATACATAAGCATTAGAATTTACATCAAGCTTGATTTTCATCAACATTACTATTACTCTTGTGAATAAGAAAGAGAGAAAATGTGATGAACTGTAACAGGAAAGGAGAAAAATGTGATGGACCAAATCGGGATTTGAACCCAGGCCCCCTGAATCTCCAGTAAGGTGCTCTACCAACTGAGCTAGCTGGCCATCAGCATTCAAACCTGTCTGACTGCCACATTCCTTAAAGGTCTTCCGCCCCAAAGACACCAGCTCTTCTCTGGCAAGTCTTTAACCTGTCACTTCCAGCACATGGTACAGCACCAAATGTAATGGGAGAGGAGAAAAATGTGAGAGACCAGACCGGGATTTGAACGAAGGCCCCCTAAATCTCCAGTATGCCCAACTGAGCTATATGGTCACCGGTGATAGAACCCATCTGAGAAACTCAGAATAGAGCTGAAACGAATGTTCAAATATTCGCGAATGAATAGTAAATGGCGAATATTCGAATGGAAATTTAGCAATCGAATATTCAGCATCATGATTTATACTTCCATGTTTACTTTGTTGATTAAATTATATTGGTACTTTAACGATGAAAATTTACTTTACAGTATTATTAAGAATTTAGTGCTACTTTATCCTTTGGATGCTCCACATGAACTGTTGACTACCTCTCTGGGTTTTATTAGTGTTAGAAAGTACAGGAAATATGATTAGAAATTGAAACAAAGAATGCACATAATTTTTCTCAGTATAAATCCTTTTGAATATACAATCAAGATATTTCATTTTCATATTAAGTGTAATTCAGGCCTACCAATTTCATCACCGATCATTTGCATGGCCTGTCATTTCCATGCAGTTTTCTATCACAGTTGTCACTAAATCACAAATGTGTTTTCTTTTGAAAAGAAATAATCCTAAAAACTAATTACTGACATTAATTTTTTTGGAAACACGTTTATTTACAGACTGACCTCTTAAAATGTTATAAGCATGTTCAGTAATGTGTAATTTGAATACCCCGATAACATACGCGGACTTTCACACTTCTGAATTTTCTACAGCATTTGTCATTCTTACTAACAAACTGTGACATTTCTGTTTTTTCCATGCATAGATTTTTTTTTTAAAAATTTAGTATGTAAAGATAGTTTCCTATCTAAGTACATAAATTTACACATTTTCCCACCAACCTAACCTTGGGTGATGTAAAAATGTCTTTACTGTAAATAAGGCATGGTCAGCACCACAGAAAAAATATCGTCTGTTTTCCGCTTTCTTTAACTGATTGATTGTATTTTGTTTAATGTCCCATTTGAGAAATTTTCACTCATATAGAGACGTCACCATATGCCAGTGAAGGGCTTCAAATTTAGACCTATACTCAGCAATCAGGGCCATTGAGCAGTGAGGTTGTTTATCGTGGCAACGCCTATTGTGACACAGGTACTACGTTTTTTAAGGTCATGTCCAAAAGACCTGTGACTTTCACTTCTAATGCCAGGCGCTGGAACAGTCACTACCTATGTTTACGTTGCAGGTTTGATGTGGCGCAGCAAACGAGAATCAAACCCAGCTAGGTCTCCCAATCACGAAGCGACCACCCTACCACTAGGCTACCGTGAATGGTCTATTTCCTTTGCATGAGGAGAAGCTTTAACAGTCGTCAGTTAAACATCAAACTATATCGTTATCAATTTTATTATTACATACATATACAAATTTTCTTTGGTCTGCAAATAGTATACGTATTATAACATTTTAGAAAGATATACTTTAAATATATCATCAACGAATATTTGAGTACGAATCAAATAGTAGTCCAGAATATTAGAATATTGATTTTCAGTATTCATTTCAGCTCTACCACAGAACGAAACACAGCTTAGAACCCGAACTCCTTAACTCTAGACCACTATCCTATCTACCTGTTGAGCTATATATGGACACTTGCAAAGGACACTGTTTTATTATCATATTCCTCCATCCTTCACTCTCAAAAAATAAACCCATACTCTTTCACAACATACCTGCTTCCTGTGCTTGGTCAATAGCTATGTCCCAGAGCAGCCTCTCTCCAAATCTTAATGGAAAAATGTTTTCAAAAATTACATGTAAGAGAGGCAATTTCGAATTTCCTCTAAATTCACAACAGTCAGTTTCGGAATATTGGTATAACCTATCAGCAAATGAATTTAATCTACTATAAATATTAAATATATCACAGTTTAGTATAAATATAATAATCTGACATTTAATTAAATACATATGTGCTACAGTTTTACCCTTTAGACATATTTTTTTCTCTGGTTTCTAAGTCGTGAAAAAAATGTTTACATATCCGAAGTGAATATGACGTAGACACAAAAGATCGTTGGAAAAATAAAGAAATATCGCCTTGAGCAATAAATCTGATAATACTAGCAATGTATCACTATTATTTCTTAACTTTCTTTGAATCAAAAAGAACATGATAAAAGGATGTGTTTTCATAATTTATTTCAAAATTTAACATTATAGACCGTTTCACGATAACTGCGAGACTGCTCTTCGCGCATGCGTACAAACACTTCCGCAGGGCAACTTTCAGTTTATTGAATATTGCGCTTTCGGTTTAATCATAAGATTTGCCTCAGTATGGTACGCTCTTGCTGTGTTGTCAAATGTTCAAATCGTGATGATACGAAAGGAAAACAGAGAGGTCTACACTTTTTCAGGTAAGTCTTTCAAATATCTTTTTAAATTTTCTAAAATCCAGGTTGAATCGTGGTAGGCCCCTATTTCCTTGCGTATTAACAACCAATATGAATACAAGTATACATTGTTTTATATGGTTTTCGTATTCATTATGCTACACAAAGAATTTTACAAGTGTGTCATTTCATAAGAGGAGAGTAAATTATATTAAAAAAGTTAAAAGTTATTTAATGTAAAGCATCCACATACATGTATATAACTGTGTACTTAAATGTAACGTATACCATCTCATTGTAGTGATGGTACTTATAAATGGACAAAGGATGTAATATATAAGCAAAATTTCTTTTACTTTCATATATTTATGTATATTTGTTTAGTCTATGTAAATGATACCAATGTTGTGTGACAACAATATCTTGAGTTGAAACTGTTATGTTATATTTATTCCTCTGTTATTTAGCTAAGAGTGACAACTAGCTCTTAGCTGATCTTTATGTTTTTCTTTCAATATTCATGTATTTGTTATAGATTTCCCAAAGACGGTTGAAAGCGTCGTGCTTGGATAAAGGCAATAAACAGAGATGATTTTGTGCCCAATGAACACACCTGTGTGTGCTCAGACCATTTTGTGACTGGGTGGCACAGTGATGACCCTGAAGATGTGGATTATGCTCCAACTATTTTTTCATACAAAATGAAGACAGTTAATCCAGAGAGAGAAGAGAGATTAGCCAGAAGAAATTTACAGAAGGTTCTAAACCTTTCTCCAATGAGACAAAATAATAATAAGATGAATTTCAAAAAATTAAGCCTTTGGACAAAACTAAAAAATGAGAAATAAATATGGCACATTCTAAACCCATTTCACCAAAAAAAAGATGAAATGGTTTACATTCATTGAATTTAACATTAACCATACAATAATTTTTGCTGTATTATTTCTAGGAATTTCATGTGTCAGTACAGAGAGAGCAGGAGCAAGAGAAGAAAAGTCTGGACTTTTCTTTATTTGTACATTCCTACTGCAAAGGTAAGAGGAAAATGTGTAACTATGTTATTATTTGTATTAAGATCTGTGCCAAGACTTTCAGAGTGGGAATAGTTTCTTTCAAGATTTGATTTGGAAGTCCCAACCATTTATGAATATTTTATCCCCTATATCTAAAATACACTGCTCTCTTGATGTTTTACTCAGTCCCATGTAGATAAGAATAACAAGGTTTGAATGTACTGTAAAGAATCAATTGAATTGAATTGTAAATTTTGGACAATCATCATGTTATAACCCAGACAGCTGAGCTGACAATACTGAATAACTCACTAACACCTTATTCAATTTGTTAGTACAACCATCTATGTTAAGACATGATGAACATCCAAAATCTGCAATTAATTGCTTAAATGTTAAAAAAAAATTCAGTCAGGACATATTATGTTTCTTCTAACTTTTGGACATGAATTTGTCATTCAATTTTTATTTTAGATAAGGAAGAGGAGGAATGTTTTCATGTAGAAGATGTAATGGAAGATACAGATGATGTAGATACAGGAGTTACACTGAAGAGAGATATTGGTAAATAAATTAGATTAGCGGAGGAAAGATTAACACAGTATTGTGTTCATACATGTACACTGAACACCAATGTCAACAAACAAAATTAGATGACGTACATATTTCCGTAACAAATCCAACTGTCATTCCAAGAATATCATTAATAATATCCATAAATAGTTATTCAAAAGATATGAGTTAAAAATTAGATATTTGCTGTATTTATGTAGTTTACAGGCTTTTAGTCATACAGGTATATTTTATGAAATAGCTATTAATGTACATTAAAATGTCAGCTTATTGTAATTCATGAATTGTAGGTTGCCAGTGTGATCCAGACCCCCTTATACTTGAAAATCAGAGACTTAAGTTGGAATTAAGGAGGATACGAGACATAAGGTGGTCTGTTACCAAGATTAAAGATGATGACGCAATGACCAGGTTCTATACAGGACTCCCAAGTTTTGCAGTGTTTCTGTGGCTTTTCAAGTATGATTTAAGAGCTTCATACCTCTTATTCCATAGACGGTTTCACAATAACTGTGGTACTTCTCTTTATCTATCAACAAAAACTTTGGTAAAAGTTATTAATTTGCCCTGCAAAAGAGTGGTACCACAGTTATCGTGAAAGGGCTAATTGAAAACTTTTTTGAAAAATTTTTAGTGGCCTATAACTCACTAACTGTTTGTGTGTTGAAGGATGGAGGCTAAATAATTAGCAAATATTATATTTATTTCTTTGGGCTAACATTTAGCATACAGGTTATCTTGGTGAAATTCCAGTAATGCAAATTTAGTCAGGTGTATTTAATTTAAGCAAATATTTGATACAACTTGAAGAAAATCTTATATTTATAGATATGAATTTTTTGCAATATTAATTTCAACCATCTCCTAGGCCCTTGCCAGAATAATATGCTCCTACTTTATGATACATTTAGCTACCTGGCACCAAAGCTTGAGAAGATGGTCTACTGGAGAGGTAGTTCAGCAACTCCAGAGGAAAGGAGTAGAGCTAGGCGAAACATGGCACTGGAGCCAATTAACCAATTTTTGGCAACTTTGATGAGGCTTAAGGTATCTTTTAGTTACCATAAATTAATACATATACTAGTTACTGTAGATTCCTTATATTTATACTTGAATATTGAATTTATGATTTAACTTCCTTAAATCACAAATTGCTAGAAATTGAATTCATGAATGGTCTGCTGATCAAGACCTATTACATGAATTTCAGCCATAGAAAAACAAAAGGGAGTAATTTCAAATCATGAGAACTGCTTCTTGCAGAATTATGGAATAACAAATTCTTTGGAATCTACAGTATTGCATAATAACATAACTGTTTAATACAAAGTATTTTAAAATAAGCCACATTTTATGTTGGATTTTGTGGTATTTTTGAAAGTTTAATTTTGAATCATTTTAAAGGTTGGATTATATGTACAAGACATGGCAGAGCGTTTTGGTGCTTCTGTAGGAGCCTTCTCTCAGTACTTTACCACCTGGATTTGCCTACTTCACAAAGAACTGAAGGATCTTAATCCCTTTCCTTCCAGAGATGTTGTTCAGAGAAATATGCCAACTTGCTTTAAGTCTTTTCAAAATTTAAGAGTCATACTTGATTGCACAGAGATATTCATTCAGAAATCTAACAGTTTGATAAACCAGAATCAATCTTTTTCTCATTACAAACACCATACAACTTTGAAATTTTTGATTGGTATAACTCCTTCTGGTGTTATCTCATTTGTTTCAGAGGGCTTTGGTGGAAAGATCTCGGATCGGCAGATGATTGAGCGTTTACCTCTGCTTGATCTGCTTGAGGAAAGGGATGTTGTCATGGCAGACAAGGGCTTCACTATTAGGGATTTATTAGAGAAAAAAGGCTGTAGTTTGAATATTCCGCCATTTCGGTCTTCTTCATGTCAATTTTCTACTGTAGATGTTTTTAACACTCAAGATATTGCTAAATTACGGATTCATGTCGAAAGAGCTATAGGACGCGTAAAAAATTTTCACATTTTTGATGGTGTACTTTCTCTTTCTCTAGTGCAACTGGCATCTCAGATATTTTCTGTCTGCTGCTGGCTTACCAACCTTGATGTCCCTATGGTTGAAAGTAATCCATGATAACAAATTTAGGTTAGTATGAATTTATCTGATGTTATAATGTATCTTTCATTTCGTTTTCACTTCCTTAATACTGTTTGAACAATGCATATATAAATCTGTATAAAAAATCATTTTTTAGTCATAAACAATCAATGTAATTTCACAGTGACATCATAACCATATTGACATATTTAAGATATGAATTTAATTTTTGAGAATTCATGAGGACATGAACTACGACGCTTCATGCGTGAAGCGTTGTAGTTCATGTACCTCATGAATTTTCAAAAATCAAATTCATATCTTATATTTACTTTATTTTTCTGATGACTTCCCACATATTTTTGTCTTTCAATGATCATTTTTGAAAAAAAAAGTTTTTTCACTTCAATCACATCACAAGGGAAATACTCTTACTCATCCCATGGTAGTTCATGAGACCATGACTTTTTTCTAATTTGCAAAGAATCTTAGGGAAAAATATTTGGAAATGTAAATATTTCTAGATTAACATTTATATGGGTTGGTATGTGATCAAATCTTCCATAACATCTTTTGAACTTTTTGGGATTAGACCAACCCATATTTATATTCCTAAAATGTTACCTAATTTCTTAATTGAAGAACGTTTACATTTTAAGGTATGAAGATGAAACATGTGAAACAAAAAACTCTACAAGTTTAGGCATCATCAAAGAACAGAAATCTGAATCAAAATAAATTCTCTCTATAAAGCAGTTGCTTTGCCTGGCTGCTGTCCACACAACAAAGTCACCCCATGCACATCCCATAATGGCCATTTCCCCTTGAATCTGGGCATAATATTTATGCTCTCTTTTCAGTCTGGGTCCCTCATCAGTGTCTTCCAAGAAAAAACCTCCTCTACCAACCAGTTCATGCACCTGTTCAATGTATGCCAATTTAAGGTTGCTTTACTTAAAAAAGTATGACTAATAACAAAAGACAACTTAGGAGGTGAACATGTACCTCTCTGTCAGTAATAACTTCATTACTGATGGAGAATGGGCATTTTATTTCCAAGACCCCTCTTTCATTTCCCTCTGGCATAGACTCATCATATACCCATCCATCACTGGTTGCTCCCAGAAATGCATGTGATGGGTATATGGTGAGTCCAGACTCCTCCACTCTGAGATCAGTAATAGCATTCTGGAGGGCCAAGTAGTCTTTCAGGGCATTTTTCTCATTCTCTATCCCCCACTTGACTGGCAAAGGTAGTGTCTGGTACCTTAAATATAAAATGTTATACATTATGATATATCAGAAGTTGTTGATGCGCTATGCTACTTGATTCTATGCAGACTAAAAATGTAGGGATTATTTATAGTTTTTAAGATTTTAAACCTATTCCTTTACCTATCTAAACTCGATCCATTCATTATCTGATTGACTAGGCTGTGGGGAGTTTGTCCTGATTTTAGAACAGAACCAAATATGGAACTAGTTATTCGTCCTCTATGCAGCTCCTTCCACATCTCGCACGCTCTTTGGCCTCTTGTTCTATGCTTGATGAAAGCACTCAGGCTTTCATCAATAGAAACTGGAATGGGTACTGTAACAATAATGTTTTTTTTAGATAAAGATTATTTTCAATTTATAGCATAAATTTACAGAAAACTTTTTCCCTTACAGTTCTCCTCGGACAATACAAGACTTTTCATTGCTGTTTCCATTGGATCCTCTGTTGTTCTGACTTCAATTTCCCCTGATGGATTAGGTGTCTCTTCTGGAATGGTCCATAAGTGACTCATGCCTAGAATAAAAATTTTGATGAAAATTTTTATGTTTTTAATACTAAATATTTGTGTTATTCTTTTTTGTGTGTATAAACTGTAATATACATGTACATTGCATTTTTTTTTTGTAAAGCAAAATTGCAAATCATGCTTTTTAAATTGTAATCAGCTCTTTTGTTTAACCTGCACATTGATATATAACACTTCTGTGTCCACTAGAGAGATCACATTTTCCTTTGGAAGTTAGTAGATTGATTTTATCAAGATTTTGAAAATAAATCTTAAACTGAACCATTATCTATTCTTATCTAATATGATTTATGTATTGCTTTTTCATGCACATAACTGAAAAGATTACTTCTTGTATACCAGTTTTGGGAAATATTTTTTTTAACATCATCAATTGTTCCATGGAATGTTTGGAGTTAAATTCTCGCTCTTCAGGATGCCGAGGATCAAAGTCTAATTGTTTTCTCTCACGGTACTCCAGTTCCCCCTCTGTCGTCAGTTTTGGTCGCCCAAGATTCCACTCCCTCAAGGGCATGGGGTCCATCTTAAGTGGACGGGGGACATTCCACTGGCATGGTCTAGAGGTTGCGCTGTCTGACTTAAGTACCTCGGTCAGATGCCAGTGGTGTAAATAAAATAGCAGTCCACCAATATGGCTGCATGTTTGGGCTAGACTATATCAAACAAAATACATGTATAATTTGTTTGTAATTTAAGATGTTGATTTTTTTATTTGTTTAACTTTCTATTTTTAATATTGATTTTTAAAATTGTGCCTACCCAATTGGACATTCACAATAGGCAAATTGAACCGTTGTCCTGTCCTCAACACAGAGAAAAACTTTGTACTTCACTTTTTTCATAGAGGCTAAGCAGTAAGCTCTGATGTAGTCAAGGGACTCATCAATCTATAAGTTTGAATTTATAAATGTTAAGCATCAGTGATGTGAAACTTTTAGATAGAAAGTTACTGTTTATTTAAATTAGGCTTTATTCTCTTCTTTAAAGTCCGTCTTCACTCACCCTTTTCATTATTAGAGTAATTAATATTTCCATTAAGTAAACAATTCCCTATATATTTATTGTGGAATTCCAAATAAAAGGTGAAAAATGCAGAAAAATTATTATAGTTGAAATGTAAAAAGGACGATGATACATAAACATACTGAGTATACTTTTTTTAATGCTTAACCATCATACCTGAGCTGTCATTATTTGGGATATATCTCCAGTCTCAAAATGCTTAATTGCTCTATCTAATCCCTTAAAATTCTTTGCTTGTCTCCCTTCTGTTGTTTGCCTCAATATCATGTGATGATAAATCTGTTGAAAAGAGATGTTAGGCAGGGAGGTGGGCGTGGCAGGGGAAAACGACGCAGACTGTAGAGGGGGGAGGTTTTCATGCCCAGAAATCTCGGGTACAGTACCCACCAATGCCATTGTCTGATACTTGATTGGCACTTCAGCGAGAGACCCTCTCCTTTTCCTGTTTAGGTCATTTAAATTCTCCCGGGAAGCCATCTTCGCGTTGATCAGTTACACGGAAGTGCCCCCTTTGTGCACTAAACTCGGACCTCTATTTTATTTAATTTCTCTACATAAATATATATCTTCATGCATAATCAACACAAGAGAAGTCTAAATATGTTAGAAAAACAAAAAACAAACACACTTTCACATAAGAATCCTTTATTTCGATCAAAGCCATCTTCGTATTGATGAACACGGAAGTGCCCCCCTTTGTGCACTAAACTCGGTTCTAGGTGGGTTTTTTTAATTTCTCTATATAAATATTATGTATATTTACACATAATCAACACAAGAAAGGTATAAATATGTTAGAAAAACAGAAAACAAACAAACTTTCATATAAGAATCCTTTATTTCGATCAAGTAAATGTGGCTTTGTCGTAGTACCGTAGTAGTCAGCGTAACCTATGTAAACAAGTTGCCCTGCGGAAGTAGTTATACGCATGCGCGGAAGTTATCGTGAAACGGTCTATTAACTCCGTGTCTGTGTTGAGTCAGTATGGCGGCTGAGTGGAGACACTTGTTGGAAGAGGAAGGTTATGAAAAGTTCAAAGAGGCCATCCGTCTCTCAGAAGACGAATCAAAGAATGACCCAGACGAAGACCCATTCAGGTCAAAATATAAGGCAAGGGAAATTTTCCTGGAAGTGAAAGAAAAGCTCAAACCTTACTTAGAGAAGTTTCCAGAAGAACAGGAACTTCTGTTTCTCAACAGTGTCATTGATTTAAGGCTTGGTATAAACTACATTGACACAGAAGAACTGCAGTCCGGGGAAGAGTATCTCACCCAAGTGATTGATGCCACTGAAAATTATAAACTTCATAAAAATGCCTCTGATATCTACCTGCATGCTCTAAACAACTTGGGGATATTATGGTTTGGAAGAAGAAACCCAGAAAAATCTCTTTCTTATCTACTGAAAGCAGAAGAACTGTATTTTAAGTACAAGGCTGAAGTAGATGGTGCACCAAAATTTGTTGCAGAATATTTAAAACCTGATAATGAAGATAAAGAAAGATTGGAACATCTCCGGAATTCGAATTTTGAAAACTCGTATACACACACCTTGTATTATATGGCGCAGGTGTATGCTAAACTGGATGAAAGTGAAAAATCTGCCTTATGTTGTCACAAAACCTTACAGAGGCAATTAGATGCACACACATACACTCCACTTGATTGGGCAATAAATGCTGCTACACTGTCCCAGTATTTTGTCACAAAGGATGAGTATGCACAGGCTCGACATTGTCTTGCATGTGCAGAAGTCATTTATGAGGTGAGTGTTTTATTTGAAATGTTATATATTTAATGAATATTGACAATTTAGTGTCATTTTTCAGGTGTTAATTTTTTTTATAATAATTTGCCCTACTTAATTAAGATGGAATATATTAAGGTATGGCGTTCATGTCCGGCGGTCTGTCTGATACCTTTTTCATGTCTGGCTCATAAAAATTTCTTAGAATTGCTTAGAATCAACAAACTTTGTCAGTTGATGCCTCTTGGGTCCTCGGAATGTGTAAATCAAAAAATAGATCATGGTGACCTACTTTCGGAATTTTATAGATGATTTAAATATTTTAGATACTAATTTATTGGTTTAGAATAACCAAACTTTGTCAGTTGAATCATCTTGGGTCCTCAGAATATGTCAACGAAAAAGTGATCACACTGACTTTCCTTTGTTACTGAATATTTAAGACATTAAGGGGCTTAGAGTCATCAAACTTTGTCAGTTGATGCATCTTGGGCTCTAAGATTGTTAACCAAAACGTAGGTTATGATGACCAACTTTTTTTTGATTTTAGGCTTAAAATAGAAGTGATAAGTTGTACAATTTATCAGAAGTCAAGAGCAATTCTAGGCCCCTGGGCCTCTTGCTTTTTTTTTATTTAGCTCACCTGAGCCAAAGATTCAAGTGAGTTTTTCAGACAAAGTTTTTTCATAGATTAGTCCATTAATAATATGTTGATGGTGCGACTGTTAGGGCGAGCGCAGATACTCAGTGTTAATTTAGATCGGGCTCGACCATCAAACTGCAGGTGACATTTGATGCGTCTAGAGTAGACTCTGACGTCACATGACGTCGTATATAAGTTGCATTACCAAACCAAAGCCTGAACATTGTTGACTTAAATGAAGAACGTTTTATTTGCTATTTATCTGCAATATATCCATTAAATCAAATCGAGTTTATTTATTGTTAAACATTTTTTGTTATTCTCGCGAGAACATAGCTTAAACAAGTGATGCATTGTGGGTCCAAAACTTACTGTGGAAAAAAATTTCGTTTGGATCAATGTGTGAGTCCGAATTTTCTCTTCGCCCAGACATTGTCGTTAGAGCTCGCATTGCACTCGCTATTACATACTATGGGTATCACATTTCATGGTTTGGGAAAGAATACAAATACAAAGGTGTATTCAGGTATGTAAATTCCAGGACAACCGCCTTGTCCTGTTTGATCATTATTAAAATTTGTATAGGACTGTCAGTATAGTAATCCTTGTTCGCCTACTTTGTGGTCTAACCACACACACCCACACACAAAAAATAAATAATTGGTGTTCAATGTTTAATGATAAAATCACAGTATTTGACTTTTCCTGAAACATTGGGCCAATTAAAACTAAATGTGTCACAGAGTATCATTGGCTGAAGGGGATTGAAATTTTTTTCCCTTGTTCCCATAGAGTTCAATATAATGTCTTATGAGGATTGACTGGATAATACAATAAAAAAAATCTCTGGTGGGAACATTTTCTAGTTTATTCAAATAACTACAGCCTAAGGAATAAATCGTGTACATTGCAAATCAGACTCTTAATTTTTTTCATTGAACAATACAGCATTCATAGATTGAAAAGAAATTTTTAAAAAAATGAAAGTCTTTCTTTTCTGTTACAGGAGACCAAGTTAAGAGAAGATGAAAATTTAGATGAGGAAGAAAAAGAAAAACTTCAGCAGGGAAAAGCTGATATACAGAGATGTTGGGCCAAATATGGACTTGCACTTCTGGAGTTTTCAAGGGATCGTCTTTTGAAGGCAACTGATGAGGAAGGAGAAGAACAAGATCAGGACCAAGCTGAAAAGGAATTTGAGAAATTTAACCTTGAAGTTGCATCACGAGAAGAACAAATCACCTGTAAACCTGTTCGTGATTTTGAAGAAGCAAGAAATGTGTTTTTATGTGTACAGACTTGGCTAAACGGAGCAAAGGAATTTTATGTTTTTGATGGTCGATGTACAGATTATGTAGAGATTGTTCAAGATCACAGCAAAGCATTCAAACTTTTAGCCTTCTTTGAGCTAAACTTGGATCGTCAGTGTAAAATGCACAAGAGGAGAATAGACATGTTGTTAGAGGTCTGTAATGAGTTGAATCCCCAGCATTACCTTCTTGTGGTTCGCCAACTGACATATGAATTGGCAGAAATCTACAGCAATATGTTAGATATTAAGTACATGATTTTGAAGGAGGAGGGGGGACAACCTTCAGTCCATGCCATGAAGAAAATTAACAGTTTAGCTTTTCAGAGCATAGAGAAGTACAAGGCCTATATTGATTCTTTTAGGGAAAACGGGGCTGATTTACCAGTAGAGTTTCCAGAACTTGATACCAGACCTGTGCTGGTAGCCTGGTTCTGCATGGGAAGACTTTATTCCAAAATATTCCCCTCCAATGTAAGGGAGAGATTGGATTACATAAAGAAGACTGAGAACTGCTACCAATATGTAATAGACTACTGCAAGCAACATCCAAAAGCTGCAGAGTGCATGCGTACTGAACTTGAAGTGTGTGAAGAAATGGTGCAACTATTACCACTCAAAATGGAAAAAATTAGACAAGAGGCGGAGGTTTAATGAATTAATTCCAAACTTTTCAGAGACACGCCACAATAAGAAATTATTAAAGTTGATATGGCTGGATTGTGAAGAATAAAGGAAATCTTAATTGCTGTAATAAGTTCCACATTACATGTTAATTATATGAGGAATCAAGAGAAATTCATGATCCTGCATATCATTAACCAGTTCTAAGGTTAAGTCCAAGTTATCATAAAACTTAATTGGTATTCAAATTTCCAAATACATGTATTGCATCCTAAGTTATATATACACATTTTTATGATAGATTACCCAAAGCAGGGGTTAGCACTTATTTACCAGTCCAATATCAAGGTCAAAGGTCAAGGCCTATGTCAAATTCAATAGCAGAATTGAAAAGGTATAATCTTTTAAATTACAGAGTAGATCAAATCTTAACAAAGAGAGATGTGTAACTGTTTTATTTACATAAGGTGAAATGCCAAGCCAAAGTGATTGCAAATTAAAATCATGTCACCTTGCATTAATAACCTAAGGCCAAAAAATTAATAGTCTTGTTTACTGCTACCTGACCGATCCTTTTTTTTTTTCTTTTTTTTTTTGCACTGGAACCTAAAATTTTTTTTTAGTATTGGAAGAAAAAAATTCGGGAATTTCATTGTTCTGTCACTGTAATCAGTTTTCATGTTAAAACAAAACAAGCATTTCATGAAATTCTATGTTTTAAATATGGACTTTCATAAAATAACACTTGAGTTGTGCATCAAAAGACATGAAATTTAATTTTAAAAGACAATATTGATCTGTGACGTTTAATTTGATCTTGTATAAGTTCATATCCAAAAAAAATTCAGTCAGAAAAAAAATTCCTACCTACCTACCCTATTTTCTTCAAGCTGGTAGCAGGAAACAAGACTATTATTTTTTTTTGGCCTAATGGTGAAGATACAAGTCTGAAATAATCATATTAGAACAGAAAAAAAATACTAGTATTTCATGTCAAGGTCATTGTCAGCACTGAGGTCGGTATTTCTAACATCTCGTTTTATCTATGACTGTTTAAGTTTGATACTCATCATTTTTTCCAATTACTAGGTTCAAAATCAGACGTCTATGTCACAGGAACTTGTTTCTTATGCGGGGCACCCCCTACTTATTGGTAAAAATTAAAGTAGGGGGGGTGTCTTGTATATGAAACAAGTGCCTGTGTTCTATGTCATGGCAAAGCCCCAGTGTTAGTATTTGATATATATCATCCTGAGTAATTTACAAGTGTGGGATGTTGGATGATCAGAATAAGTCACACTCAACAGAACTAATTTAAAGGTCAAGGTCATCCAAATGACAGCTCGTATAACATCTCATCCTGATTTACCTATATAAAGATTGAAGGATATCATACGTATAGTTAAACACAACTGATTAACAGAATTGTTAATGTGGACAGGGAATAAACTGTCAAACAGACATCATCGATTCATATATATGATTTGGGCTTCACAACCCAGCCAATTATACTCTGTAGTTCTATTAATATACAATGTATTTATAATAATTTATTACTATTAGTCTATAAATGTGTCAATGTGAATAAATCTTGAATATAAAGATTAAGAAAGCATTTTATTAAATTTTATTCAGTGCACCATATATCTTTTAATTAACGTATTAGGTGCAATAATTTTAAATGTATACAAGTCTAGCCTTGGTAATCCAGCTGATGCCAATAAAGAAGCTGAATGAAATTTGGTAAGAACAAAATTTATATTTATATCTAGCTACCACTTACAAAAGGTATGTTTTAGTAATCTGGCACAAAAAAAGAGTGTATCAAAGATCGAGGCTCATCTGCATACATATATATAATCATCAAATACAATCTTTGCTGCTGAAAATGTGTGAGAAAAACTGATATTAGATGCCTATACAGAAATGAACCTTATGTCCCTTGGGTAAGGGATCAGGTTGTATTTAACTATGAAGTGATCAGTATGATTCCTGCATGATTAACAGGTTTAATGGATAACACAAGAATACTGCTTGTTATTTTGATATCATCTTTTTCAATTCTCCAACAAACTCTTAAAATATTTTAAGTCTATGTCCTTTTGATAAAGGACTGGAAATCTTGGAAAGTATTTTAAAAAGATAAGAATATCCTGTACTTGAGGTCATGCGTTTAACACCTGGAGCCAATAAATGTCTAAGTGAAGGTGTTAATTAGGTAAAGCTTGCCTTCACATAGCCACTTCCGGGTATTGAGGATAAATTACAATAGATAATGTATAACGGGACTGCAGTTTGACTTAGAGGGATCAAGGATTTCAAGAAATTGAGAGTTCGAGAAATCAAGAATAAATTTGCTTAATATACTTATATAGGGCAAAAATCAGGACCGGAGACTTACTTCCAGTGATCGAGAACTTGGAGAGATCGAAGTTTGAGCCATCAAGAATTACCTGTATATACAGACTTAACTCTTGAAACACCCAGGTAGTCATGTGTTAAATAAACATGAATATGCAAAAGATGGGAATGTTTGTATATTAATTTGACTCACTCTTCTCTGCCGTTCTCTACACAAAGTGATAAATATATAATTTTCCCCAATATATCTACATAAAAATACGAGTCCCTGTTCAAGCTCAACACAACTTGTAAATAGGTATACGCCATATTAGTTTTCCCATCTCCAATAATGGCACTGGGGTATACCCTTTGCACTCGTTACACCTGACTGCTTTCTTGTCACAGGTACCTGAATGGAATGGACAACACCTGTTCATGTTGGTCTTACATTACCTTTGTTTACATTTTATTGCAGTTTACGTGTATTTGTGCTGCACTGACCTGTGTAACTGATGTAAATTTCTTTGGTAACTTTCTCTTTAGCCATGGAAGAAGCACACAGTTACTTTTGTTGCTACCGAGAGTTTTACAATAGTTATGTAGAATACCGGTGAAACCTTATTACACTCAACTGTGATCAAGTAAATGGCTTATGTAGGGGGCCATACAGTATTGGAAAATGCAGCGTAATATGGCAGACAAACGTAGATCTCTGCCTTTTAGAATAATGTACAGCTTTATATAATGCCCATCTCAAATCACAAGATCATGTCTAGAACAATCAGCATAGTCCCAGTTTGGGGATTCTGTAGCATTGATTAGTGGTTGACTTTTATGATATTTCTTGTCTAACAAGAATGGAGAAAATGTATGGCTTAAGACCTGGAATCGAACTTGGGACTCTGCATCACTAGTCAGGTGCTCTTATCCAGCTACCCAGACCAATATCCATGCAAGTCCTGGGGTGGTCAACAGCACTAAATTATGTAACAGGAAAGAAAATGCCTGGAGTGGGAATCAAACCGGTGACCCATATCACAAGCCCAGACTTACCCTTTTCTCAGCACACTTTAGTGCCAGCAAATCTTTAAAATTTTCCTATCACCCTTTTTCACTGTTGCCGCATGGTCATATTAAATTAATTGATCTTTAATATTTCCCATCTCATGGACTTCAGATACATTTGTAACTAATTAATGTTCACATCCAATCCAATATGGTGATGACAGATATGTATTTCCCAAAGTTTATCTCACTTCTTTACTGTATATACATCTATATAATTTCATACCCTCACAAACATTAATTTGTACTGAAATTTTGAACTGGTCTGAGAAGCGCGCACAAATCTTGACTGGCTCACCTCATTGGATACAACCCTGAGTTTCAAGCAACCATGGGGGACACAGCAGGTTGTTAATGTAACTAGAGGACTGCATTTGCAAGTTGATGGGATAAAGATTAGAAGCTCATGTGTGCATGCCTTTTTAATATGTAGCCTCAATTTATTATAAACTACTGTATCATTAATTTCTAGTAAGATTTTAAATATATCTTTGTTTCTTTCAAATTTTATTTTCTGTATAAGAAATTCCTGCCTGGCCCCCAATTATTTGTGATGCATTAACAGTAACACATGGGCAATTGTAATGAAGGCTAGTGAAAGCTAGGACCACCAAGAGTGACAAATTATTGTATTTCCTCATGTGAGAGGTTAAAATGAATTAGTTGCACTTTTAGCAGTTTTGAGAAACTGCTTGTTTGACTGCTTAAGTTTGTTCAATACTGAACTGCTAACACAAATTCTTAGCAGTTTCTTAACCAGTCTGTTAGCAGTTTTAAGGAATGCTAAGACTAAGACTGTTAGAAACTGCTTAAAAACTGCCAAAAAACCTCAAGACTGCCTAATAACTGTTTATAAACTGCTAAAATAAGCAGTTCACTTTGACTTGGGCCCTGCATCACTATTCAGGTGCTCTACCTACTGAGCTACCCAGACCAATATCCACAACCCTAACCACTACTCTTGCATACATGTTTGACTGATGACTTTTTAGTTCGGCAGTAAAAAAATATGTAGTATCAATACATGATTTAACCCTATAGAATGACATAGTACTGTCATTCCTCCAAGTCATTAAAATATAATGAATCTACAACTAATCAAATGAGGGATCCACAAGATTTAACTAAGTCACATTGCCCCATGAATAGGTAATGAGACTCCTAACTATACCCAAGTAAAGTGAAAGATATACGAGGGTTGTCCCAGAAAAATGCAAACTTTTTAAATATTTCATAAACTACCCAATCAAAATTATTCATTTTTGGCACAATGTTGGGAAATGATATTTTCGTCATTTTGACCAAATACTATCAGTCTGATTAAGATCAAACCTTCACTAGCTCCTTTTTATTTTGATTGTCATGCGACAATCAAAATAAAAAGGAGCTAGTGAAGGTTTGATTTTAATCAGACTGAAATACTATAAGGCTGGAATGTCATATGCATTTAGAAACAGCATTTAAAGGGTTTTAAATATCGGTGGTTGGCGCACAGCAATTTCTTGACTTTCAAAATTAGCATTGCCGTCTACGTTTTTCTTTATTACACGGCTCTATGGAAATATAATGTGACAAAAATTACATCCATAGAAACTGTACGATCTAGAGTACTCGTGTGTAAAAAATTAATACTTCGACTTCATAAATGACAAAATATGACGTTATATGACCAAACACTATTAGTTACATATTGTCAAAAATGGCGACGTCCTGCGATAATGCGGCACACCAAATTATCACTCAGTACTGTCACAGGTACTTATGGACAGGACCCCCCCCCCCCCCCCCCCCCAATTCAACCCCAATGTTTGTTAGACATTTTTTCACAAATTATATTTATTACACTTATTCATCATGTGTACCATAGAAAAAAATTGTGAAAACCCCAAAATAATCGTTCCACACAAAAATACCCCACTATACATTATAAGAGAGAAAGGTATGCCACTTCGGTTTGTTTACGTTGTATCCCCACTGGTCTTTCTGGGTTTAAAAACATGTATTTATTTTATTTTAACCTAAAATGTCGGTTCACAAAGTCTTTTCATATATTTCTGTCTTAGTTCATGCTATCGGATTGACTCTGCATCTCGAAAGAATCCCACAATTTCTCCTTAAACAGCATTGCAGTCAGTACATTGAAAAATCCTTTTGTTGGGCCAATTTAATACCAATCAAGAAACTTTGAACTTTGAACTCTCAATCTCTCTCTGTTTTTCCATGGTCCCCTAGACTTTGAAATATCTTGTAACCTGTATTGAATTTTCACCATTTTTTTAATTATCTACTCTTGCCATTCTTTTAGAGAATTGAAAACCTTTCTCTGAAGGATGCTTTGTGGCTTATATTGTTGAAACTGGCATATTGGTTCTCAAGAATCAAACAAAAGTGTGAAAAGATTCTGTTAAAATACACAAATTAACACATAGAAAACATAAAAAAAAAAACCTAAATTGATCAGAAAAGTTCACATAATTCTCTGGCTGAAGTAAGTTTAAAAGAACAGATGATCTCTTCTAAACAATTATTAGAAACAGTAAGTATAAATTCCAAATTTATGTGTTTTTCATTTACTTGTACACAATAAATATAAATGAAAATATCCAAGTAATTTGCATATTTCTGTGTATACCATTACCACACAATAAATACAAATGAAAATCTGATAAATTAGAAATAAATAGAAATAAAAATATCTGATTAACTTGCAATACATTAATAGTTTAATACCATAGTTCAAAATAATAATGGAAACCAGAAACAGTCATGGAAAATACAAAGCTTCAAAAGATCAGGAAAAGGGCTCATTTTGGCCCAGCCTGCTGCTTATTCCCATTTTATACACACACATTACTTACATTAGATAACAAATAATGGAAAATGCATTAGTATCAAAATATTGCATATACAATATATATATTTTTTTATATTTAGAGGGGATCAAAATTGCATAGTCTGTTCTGAAATACATGTATATAAACAGGTGTACCTAATTAGAGAATTCAGGCATTTTACAAGCAATAATATTGAAAGTTAGGAAAAGACATACAAGTAAAATTGAAAAATGATGAATTTGAGCAAACTAACTGGAAAAGATCACTGAGATTCCCTCATTTACAGACTTAATCCATTCAGATAACTGAGACTCCAATGCCAAACTGTTTGTCATGCAGAGGAGGGTAAAAGATTGGTTCCTTTTTAGGACAGGAGCTCTGAGACTCATCATGGAGACAGTCTATTAATTTAAAATCCTTGCTGACACAGATTTCAACTTCATACAGCAGCTGCTTCTTTGTTTTTTCCTGTAACAAAATATACCATCAATATTTTTCTTCAGAGTTATTTCCCTTACAGAAATTGAGAAGAAAAAGGCATACATGTATATCAAAAAGGCCCCTCAGCAGCCATATTTTTTTCAAAACATTAAATTTCAATTTATTTTAGCAAAATTAGTTTAAAATTCACAATAAATATGTTAACTTTTGTTATTTATATTTCAAAAGTTAATATGAGATTATCCCACAGTACATGTAGTTGATCCATACATAGATGCTTTTTCAACATGATAATTAACATTAGGGTCATGGGAAAATATGAGAGGCTGGCATTCAGAAATCGTCTATGCCATATATTGATTAGAGTTGCCTGTATGATGCATCCAGTATGTTTTCATTGCCATCAATCAAGATTCAGATGCTGCATTTTCAGCCAAAAAATGACCAGTTTAACGTTTTTGGAGCAGGTTTAAGTTTCTTGAGCAGATCACATATACCCAAGTCATTTCAAGTCTGACTTTGACCAAATTGCATGGACGTTGCTTCGAAGGAACTTGATTTAGATTTAGATGCTGGATCTGACTTACATTTTCTAGATAAGTGATCTTATCTTTCTAGATAAGAGTTTGAAGTGGGTCTAATTCTTAAGTAACTATAAGTCCTACCATGACCAAAATAACAGGGATGATGCATCTAGGGTTGAACACTAGAGCTGGTTCAGATGTTAAATATTACTTACATTTACAGGACACTTTTGGTGTTTTGGAGCAAGTCCATTCCCAACTATCGGTAACTAAAAATTCCTCCAGATTTAACGACTTGTTGCATATAGGGATGCACACTGCCAGAATACTGTATACAGGGTTGTTTTTGCCCCATGTTATTTTTTTGCCCTTTCAAATTTGCAAGTAATTTTGCCCTGTTTAAATTCGCCCAGAAACAGTTTTGTTTAAGATATAATACTGTTTACTTTGAATAAGCCCAATTTTAAATTCGGCCACTTCCGACAAGGGCGAAAGTGGCAAAAATAAAGCGGGGGCATAAAATTTCCTACTAAAAGATGATATTTGTTGAGGCGAGTTTTTTAATCTTTGATTACCTATCTTCTTAGTAAAGTCATACAACGGTGAAGAAATTAGTCTACACCTTACTTAAGAGACCCTGGAAATCATTTTTAAATTTGGCATTTTTCAGTCCCAGTTATGTTTTTGTGTTGCTTGCAGAGCAGAATGACACTTAGGGATCACCTCACCCAGTGTCTGTCTGTCCGTCCGTCTGTCCATCCATTTGTCATACCTTATATTTTGAGAAATGTAAAAGGCATGAATTTAATATTTTGCACATATATAGCACATATATGGCTTTTGTAAATACCATAGTTTACCAAGCCCTCAATCAAGATTTTGACCCAAGCCCAATATTGCATATATTTCAAGACAGTTATCATGTATTTTGTTTATCCTGCAACAAAATTTTTACATTTGACCTCCAAAATGGGTTATTTTCAACTTTCAGGTACATTTCTGCAGTTGAAACTATGACCATTTTGACTCTAACTTATCTTTTCCATGGCATTTTTTAAGTGGGAAAAAGTTTATGTACAAACTATTGATGAATTCTGATTTTTTTTTTTATCCTTCTGTATACCGGTAAATGAATGTTTTACAAGTTAAAGTGATCCTCTTTAATAGACAAGAGGCTGATGGGCCACAATGCTCACCTGAGTCAAAATGACCCTGTTGTTCTTAATCAGCAGACTTTTTTCTATTTTATATCATGTAAAACATTGATCCCTATTGTGACCCCAACCTACCCCAGGTGTCATGATTTGAACAAACTTAAATCTCTACTATCTGAAATTGCTTTCATTTTCATATGACTAAACATTGCTTTCCTGTTCTTGAGAAGACCTGTTCTTGAGAAGAAGATTTTAAAAGAAGTGATCCCACCATACTCCTGAGGGTCATGATTTATACAAACTTACATCTACACAACCTGAAGATACTTTTATATCAATATAACTAATCATGGCTTTGCTGTTCTTGAGAATAAGATTTTTTAGGATTTTTCCCTTTATAAATTCCTGTTAAAATTTGATTCCACACTGTAGTCCAATCCTACATGTACCCCCAGGGGTCATGATTTGTTAAATTTTCACTACCTGAGGTTGCTTCCTTATCAATATGAACAATCATGGATTTGATGTTCTTGAAAAGAAGATTTTTAAAAAAAATTCCCTATATATTCCTATTTCATTATATGAACAATCATGGATTTGATGTTCTTGAAAAGAAGATTTTTAAAAAAAATTCCCTATATATTCCTATTTCATTATATTTTTTGGGGGCCGAAAAACATCCTTATCATAAAACTCCTCCTCAGTCCAGTTCCATACCTTGTCAAAAACACACTGCACCACTGTGTTCACTCCTAGTTCCCTCTTCAGAGCTGCTTCTGTTTCATTAGCCTTCAAAAGTATCAAGTTATGATTCATTTATCAAAACAGAAAACAAGTAAATTAAATAATGCTTTATAAATGTAAATGTAAAATCCTGTGGAAAAGGGGTATTTGTAATGTGTGTATCTGTTATTTGAATGATTTTGAGTATAAAAAGATATTTGAATCAAAGATTTCAATTGATGTGAAAAGCTAACTCAACAAATCAAAAACATTTCTTTAAATTATAGGGGAAAAAACACTAAATATGAATGCTAAAGTTTGCAGAATTAATTGATAGATCTACACAGAAATTTTATTTCTGAATCAATTGAGTTTATGATCACAAACGGAAAAGAGATGATTTACAGAACATGGCACTTCTGATGGAGTGTCCAGTCCAGAATTAAAGGGATAAAGAAAAAGTGCTGAAGTTGACATCCTTCAAAATTTTCATTAGAATCTCATGACTTGCATTTCTTGAGACCTTTTCAGACCATTATATCATAAAAACTTGTTTGGAAACTTTTTTTAACTGAAAAATTATCAAAACTATGAAATTTGGGTGTGTTTGAATGCCTTACATCCTGACAGTTTTATTCACTAAAATTTATTCTAAATATTAATTCAAATTACACATCATCTCCATATTTGTTGTGAGGGGATAATAAAGGCTACAGCATGCAAGACAAAGTCACTCAATTCTTCAAAGTCCATGGATTTATCAGATTTACTTTTAAGATTATATTTAGGAAAAGTTAAAAATCTGAGGTGTATTCATAAAAGATATTAAAACTATAATCAAGGAAAGTCAGTAAAAAATGTAAGAATTAAAGACAAACCAAACACCAATGTTGTCAGTCAGTGATGTTCAGTGATGTGTGCAATTATTTTAAGTTTGATAGTTGACCATATTACTGTCGACCATATTAAAAGGTTGACAGTTGACAGTTTCTTTTCTATCATTCTGTCAATCTTGCATGGTTGACAGTTGACAGTTTCCTTTCTAATCAACTGTCAACCTTACATAGTTGACAGTTTCCATTGTAATCTACTGTCAACTGTAGACAGTTGACAATCAACAATTTTACTCTTTCTCACCTGATGGGATTGTTAATATTACAACAGAAGTATTTTAATTCTTATAAGGACATTATGTTAGATCTGAGAGATTAGAGTTGGTACTTGCAAACAATTCGACTGATTATGGTTAGATTCACAACCATATGAGTGGTTTGGGTTAGTCCTTGCACATTGATGAGAGTTAGTCTAGCACCCCACCTAAGAGATTAGGGTTAGTCCTCATACACTAATCGACTGATCAGGTTAGTCTCACACCAACCGAGAGATTAGTGTTAGTCCTCGCACATGCTTCAACTGATTAGGGTTAGTCTTGCACCCTGCCAAGGGATTAAGGATAGTCCTCGTAAAGCATTTGATTTGGTTAGTGTTAGTCTATAGCCCATGGCAAAACAACATTTGAGCACCTTTTTCTTGGGAAGTTTAGTTGTCCTTGTATCAAATGTTAACTGTTGAGTTGTCCCCATTTGACAATAGGACATGAATATGAAAGGTGTCAATTGTCTACCCTTGACCTGTCCCTGGTCTATACTAGGTCATGAATATGGAAGGTGTCAAATGTCAACTGTTGACCTGTCCTCAATCAATGCTAGAAAATCGAAGTCAAAAGTGAACACTATCAACAATCGGTCTATGGAAATAGAGTATTTTTACAGGTACTATTTTATCCACATGTTGGAGTTGAGCCTTTGGTAAAAGATTATGAAGAATGCCATTGTCACTGAATATTATTTTGAATATTCAAAATTGTAAACAACTCAGCAATGCAAGTGTGTCCATGCCCCTTTGTCTGAGATATGGGACCGTGACATTACCCACCATTGATATGTGTGCTTAGAATTGGAGTTCCTTAGAAATTTAGATTTGAGTACACTTACCATGTAACCAGCTGTGTTGCTTGTTATTATTCCCTGGTTCAGAAGTATTCTAAAGCACAAAATACATTATTATCACACATTTATTAAAATATTTTTGAAATATATCACAAAAACTAATTTGTAGTGAATAACTAAAAACATTTACTTTGTAAGGTTGTATTGAGCATGTAGTTTAAGTCCCATCTGGAAGTACTTGAGTTCATTAGAGGTAGCAGGTAATGAGGTAGCACAGGTTCCATGTTTTGACCACTCGTGTTCCCTTCAAAAAAGGCATGTATACTCTTCACCAAACATTTCATTCAATGAAATGTTACAGATAATTAATGTAGTATTTTCTCTAGCAGAAAGCTAAATTGATCTACCAGAAACTGTTTGCTCCTGTATCTGGATAGAGGTTTGGCCAAAATTTCTTCAAATCTGGCAACAGCGTCTGAAACAATATATAAATGTATACCTACATTTAAGATGTCAGGACTGAATGGTTCTCAATAAAAGGCTGATTTAAGCACTGGTTTCTTTCTTTTTCTCTTATCAGTGCTTAATGCTGAATATTTATTAGCAAACATTTGTTTGGTAAGTTCAGATTTGTTCAAACACATTGTCTTAGTTAGCACAGAACATGATATTTTACAAGTTATGTGATGGAAATTGGTATGTGCTTCACCAAGCTAATTCGGAATACTATTCGAACACATAAAATTATCATATAATGATTTACAATCATCTGTACCAGTAACCTACAGCTATGTGTAAGTGACCATATTATCAATTTCGTTTTGAAATCTCTGTCAATACTGGTGCCATATGGAAAGGAGTGAAAGAGATATCATGTATATTTCTATTCATGCATGACATTGTCATGCATATCTATCAACTTAATCTTCAATTCAGGGCAGGTAAATGTAATTTCTTGAAATTTACAAAGCAGTAAGGGTTGAATAATATTTAACTATTTTATTGTTCCACAGTCTGAAATCATTTTGACAATCAATTCAGCCTCAAATTGACCAAAATCTTTGACAAATTAAAAGAAATAAAATTACATAACATATGAAAGTAACAGAAGCTACTATAAAAAGAACCCAAACCCCGTGTTAAGTGCAGTCATCCTTTCCCATCTTCTTATGCTTAGTCATCCTTTGAGGGAAAAAAAATATGCCAATGTCCAAAGGGACCAAGTCCTTTTACTGGACCAAGATTATGAGGATATTAATGCCTGGTATTTCAAGCAAGATTGCTTTTTCTCAATGTTCAATATCCAGAAAAGCTTTGTTGAAATACATACCTTGACCCTTTCAAAATTAAATGGCCAAGAGGTGTTACAATTTTCTGGTCCTTTAGATTTAGAGTCTGCTGTTGGCCTAAAATAAAAATAATACCACATATAATTTTTAATACCAAGATGATTTTTTTTTGTTCAAACTGAACAAGATTGAAGTCCAAAGACTTTGACAGTCACCTGATTATCATGAGTATTTTCACATTTATTTGTTACTTTCTATTAAGGCAGAGGCTACCATTATATCACATATATATTATATATTACATATAAACATATAATATATATATATATATATATATATATATATATATATATATATATATATATATATATATATATATATATATATATATATATATATAATCAGCTTGTTGCTCTACATTGATTATTGTATACTTTAAACCTATAAATTGTATAGTTCTTGGTAATACAATACATAATAAAGAAAACAGTTTGCCTTTTACCTATCAAGTAGTAAAGCAAAAAAAAAATTTGAAGATGGCATTTTTACTTTATTCTCAGATATTGATACATTTTATTCTATGCTGCATGTCAAAATTGGTTACACAAGGTTCTCGTGTTTTTGAGAAGAGGCTAAAAATGTTAAAACATTATAACCAACAAACAGTAGGTGACAAGAATGGAGAGTACAATTTTATATCTCCTGGTTGACTCGGGTGAGCCAAAAAATGACATCAAACCTTTATAAAACTGATCAACATAACGTGTTGCTAATTATTAGTGTCTAAATTAGCAATAAGCCTACTTTCACTCACTTTCAAATCTAATTAAAATTAGATCTTTGATCTGCTCCAACTAGATTGCTACACTTTGTGTAGTGATCTAGTGGTGAGCAGATCAAAGATCTAATTTCAATTAGATTGACTCGGTTTCTCAACAGCTTTTCTAAATCATTCTGTATTAGCCATGCTTTCTGATATAATGATGACCAAATAAGGACTGAAAGAAAATGGTTTAGACAAGTTAGCGGTCACAAAATTAGCAATGGAGATATGAAGGTAAAACCCCTGATTTTACTGGAATGATTATTACTAAGAAAACATTGGCAAATATAAATACATGTATTACAGACAAACATTTCCTTTTCCTTAAATAATCATAAAAACTAATACTATAAAATAACATAATACTACCGGTAAATGAATATTGAGGAAATTTTTCATGCAAAAGATTTCCCTCTACCGGTATATTAAGTTACCAACTACCAAGGTCAAAGAATGATTGAGGAAGAATATTTTTCATTTACTATATGCATTATGAAGATCATTTTTGATTCACCTTAACATTAAAATCCAAAGAACTGAAGGATCAATTGTGGCTGAACACAAAGTCTGAGACTGGCATGTCATTTATAAATACAGTACATGTGCCAGTACACTGTAACAAATTTACAGGTACCTTTATACTTATGAATAAACTCACCATATATAAGTTAATCTGTATACTTATGAAGAAACTCAACATATACAAAGTTATTTGTACTTATGAATAAACTCACCATACACAAAGTTATCTGTATACTTATGAATAAACTCACCATATACAAAGTTATCTGTATACTTATGAATAAACTCACCATATACAAAGTTATCTGTATACTTATGAATAAACTCACCATATACAAAGTTATCTGTATACTTATGAATAAACTCACCACATACAAAGTTATCTGTATACTTATGAATAAACTCACCACATACAAAGTTAATCTGTATACTTATGAATAAACTCACCACATACAAAGTTAATCTGTATACTTATGAATAAACTCACCACATACAAAGTTAATCTGTATACTTATGAATAAACTCACCATACACAAAGTTATCTGTACTTATGAATAAACTCACCATATACAAAGTTAATCTGTATACTTATGAATAAACTCACCATATACAAAGTTATCTGTATACTTATGAATAAACTCCCCATATACAAAGTTATCTGTATACTTATGAATAAACTCACCATATATAAGTTAATCTGTATACTTATGAATAAACTCACCATATATAAGTTAATCTGTATACTTATGAAGAAACTCACCATATATAAGTTAATCTGTATACTTATGAATAAACTCACCACATATAAGTTAATCTGTATACTTGTGAATAAACTCATCACATACAAAGTTAATCTGCATACTTATGAATAAACTCACCATATATAAGTTAATCTGTATACTTGTGAATAAACTCATCACATACAAAGTTAATCTGCATACTTATGAATAAACTCACCATATATAAGTTAATCTGTATACTTATGAAGAAACTCACCATATATAAGTTAATCTGTATACTTATGAAGAAACTCACCATATACAAAGTTATCTGTACTTATGAATAAACTCACCATATATATGTTAATCTGTATACTTATGAAGAAACTCACCATATACAAAGTTAATCTGTATATTCATGAATAAACTCACCACATACAAGTTACCTGTATACATATGAATAAACTCACCATATACAAAGTTATCTGTATACTTATAAATAAACTCACCATAAACCATGTATACCCCAACCATTCACTGTAGGTGGTATTACACAAACTTTATGCTGAAAATAAAAGAATTCACAAGTAATTTCAATTTTATATTGACTTTATGTATTATTGTGGCAATGTGCAGGGGCTTAAAACTTAATTTGTGCATAGAATATATACATGTACATCAAGTCAGTCTACAGATGAATATTGGTGCAATTTTTTCTACTTCCAGTGTGTATTTTAATAACAATTTCTCAGAATTTATTTCAAAAACTTGTAGCATTTAGCTGGACTGGGGTATTAGAAATATAGTGGCATATTTATTTACTTTTGTAACATGAGCAGCTGTTAACCAAATACATATATGTATGTATAGCAAACCCTTTTACTATTTTATACTATCTATTCATAATGTAAGACGACTCTTCAATTAGAAAAAATAATGGTTTAAAACTTAAGAAGGTATAATATCTTAATTTAAAAAGATGTATATTAAGGAAAAAAAACTTCGTGCTAAAGAAATTACATATAATGTTTTTCTGTGTTAAAGAGATGTCATATTTCTCTAGAAAACAAGAGAACTTTCTGTAACTAATTATTTATTGATATGAAATTACTCTTTGATCTGATTTGAACATATTTTATTGTCTATAAACTTTACAGCTGGGATTGGGCAAAAGTTCTTAAAACTTAATATGACCTTTCCCTACATATGAATTATACCAAACATACAGGTAAACTTCGTTATCTCGACATCGACGGGACCATCGGAAAATGTCGAGATATCCGAGGTGTCGAGATATCAGAGTTGAGACTTGACGTCCAAGATTTCATTGCATAGCAAAACAGACAAGCTTATTATATGTACATGACTTTAATATAGACTGTAGCTCAACATATTTCATTATTCCCTCTATTTTTATTAAAAATCTAGAAGTTATTTTAAAAATCTTGTTTATAAAACGTGTTCCTTATCGAAATATTTCTAAATTCACAAAGTTTCAGCACAAAGTTACAGCATTGAGCTGCATTCGAGTGTAACTTGCCTTTTCGTCAGAACAGGATACGAAATGCGCTCTATAAACTTCGAACCGTATAAAGTCGACATCCGATATATGGTAAAAAAAAAAAATAATAAATGCGGATTATTTTTTTCTTATTTCATTCAGAAAGAATATACAATAAAATTATTTTTTTTAGAGAGATTTGTGTATCTTAACTAACGTAGTGATGTTACGGATGCACGAATTACGACTGATTCTGTCAATCGTGTCGTTAATTGGATTGTTTCCTGTTGAATACATTTTAACTACAAAATATCATTAAAACTTTTTTTTTAATTCCTTAGTATGAATTTTTCAGTGTGTTTTTGTTATTCATTGTACTTTAGTTATCTTTTTCAAATTTAAAAGTTATGTTACGTTTCGATATACATTTACGCAGAATCGTGTAGATTTAGCAATGATATTACCCAAGCTCAATTAACTTCTCAAAGACGCCGAAGGGGCTTGGGATTCACCTACAAACACAGTCTATAAAATTAATTAAGCAGCTTGCAGTCAAAACATGGGTGTGAAAGGTGTGAAACTTTGACGAAGTCGAGATACCCTGAGTTGTCCGTGCGTGACGAGCGACCCTGTCTGACAAACAGTTAGGTTCAGTAGAGCAGAAAATTGCCGATGTCGACATATGCCAGGTAAATTTTGCTCTTGGGACTGTGAATATACGTCGAGATAACCCGGGTTGTCGACATTACCGAGGTCGACATATCAGAGTTTTTGCAAATCATTTATATAGTAAATACTGCCGGGACCGCGGAAGGATGTCGACATATCCCAGGTTGTCGACATATCCGATGTCGAGATACCGAAGTTTACCTGTATTTACATACATGGGTTTCAGAAATTACTCTTTATAAATAAGCAAAAAAAAAAAAAAAAAAACACAAACAAAAACAAACAAAAAAAAAACACACAAACAAAAACAAAAAAATCAAAACAAAATAGCCAAAAATTTTAAAGTGAAAAGGTGATAGTTTTAGGAAAATAAATTTCTCTATGCTTGACATACTTTTTGTTTCATAAAAAAAGAGATCGTAAATCTTACTGAATATTAGAAATACCTGATGTTTTGTGAATAAATATGACAAAGGTAAAATAGTGTGTCATTAACCATTACTTTGAAAAAATTTTAGTTCTGTTATTTACATGTTAAGAAGGTTTTAGGAGGTAATATCAAAGGACACTAATTCTGAGAACCTTAGTACCTCTGCACAAACAGCAACTGGCCACTGCTGGGCAAAGGTAAAATGACTCCAATCTTCTCTGGCATATCTACAAGTAAAGGTTGTTGTATGTAAAATATATATAATTTCAATAAAAAAAAATTATCAATTACTTGTCACAACAATTTTAACAAGTTTTACAATTACTCAACCTACTAAATTTTAATTGATGAAAAAAGTTCAATGTGTATGCATGGACTTTGTGTTAAGGGTTAAGTGGACAGAGTACATAAACTTGAACATTAATAGTTCTTCTGATACATATAGAAAATTACAGTATATATATATTTGTTGACCGTATAAAATGAATAGTCACTCACACTGAAACCGTGGAAAAGAGGATGGTTATAAAGATCCCACAAAAGTCTGCCATATTTTCTCTGAAAGGGAAAGATATTCACATCACAGCTACCCACATTCAGCAGAAGCAAACCTCACTCTGGGGGGGGGGGGGGTAACAAGTGCAATATATTTAGACAACAGACATCCAAAAATAGGATTAAAAATAACTGTTAAATATTAGGTTTGAAATAATATATGATAAATCCATACGAAATGAATACATTTGTAATTAGATGTCAACTTTGGAAACAAACCTGCACATATGATATAGGTCTATCAACAAAACAGTGTTTCTCCACGAAATTTGCGTGATATAATATACCACCAGGAACTGTTTTGTTGATCAATCAGCTGTCGAACAAAATCACATGACCTGCTTCTGTTTACCTGTTTACAACCCTACTCTTTCCTCTGATGTGCGCACGATTACAGTCTTACATGATTAAATCACTCTCGGATAAGTCACTATAAAATATTATATATAAAACTTAAGTTCTTTAGCATTACAGTATTGCTTAATCAGTTAATAATTTCATTTATCCTTTGTTCATACTCTATATAAGTACTTTGCTGTCTGCGTATTTTCAATGGATTGATTATGTTATCTCCAGAATTGAAGAATTCTAAGGAAGGGAAATAACTTTCTTAGCTTTGATTTGAAAAAAACTAAAGGTTCATGGGAATTCATCTAATATTGCTGTGCTAGATGAGTTGGATCAATTTCCACTATTTAACTTGTAATATGAAAATATGTTTAATTTTTATTTTGGTGTCTGCATTTAATTAGGATTCTGGAAGATAAAAACATCGGGGTTTAAGAGTATCTTGGCAAAGGAAACTTTTTTTACGCTACAACAGAAATTTTCCTTAGCTTCTTTAAAATTAGACATACCACATAAAACTGTAATAAATTAGCATTAGAGGAGCATATTATAGTAATTAAAAAATCTGTGGACAATTAAAAACATTTGATTTCTAAATTGAATTCTGGAAAATTTACTTTTTTATAGTTATTAATAAAATAAATTTAAATGAATATACATTGCAAAACTACATACAATTACCATTCAAGAAACCCGAGAGAAAAATCATAACAAATCTATGAATTACTAGTGCTCACACATTGCATATTGAAATGAGGAGATACTCATGACCACATATTCCTAAAGAAAAACGTGTATGTTATTCTTTCAAGCTATTCAGTCATTGAAAATGAAAAACATGTTGTACTTTATTGTCCTAGCTACAATCAATGTAATTTACAATATTGCGATATATTTCAACCCTCCAATTAAAAGTGTTAAATTTGTTTGAAGAGAATGTAACTTTCTAAAGAAGTGTTTTGACATCAGAAAGGAATTAAACCTCTGTTATTACAGCCCTCACTTATAAATATGTTTGTATTAATTGAGTGAATGACAGAAGTTTCACAGTCTCATGAATAATTTTTACTTCACATCCCAACGGGTACTACTAAACAGAGAACCCTAGAGAACTCTAAAGAACTTTAGAGAACCCTAATGATTTTTAATTATTTATTGTCTGTAAAAGAAATATTTATGTTTTAAATAACCAATATATCATACAAAAACAAAATAAAACTTGAAAAAAAATATCATGCCACGTTTGTGCTTAATTTTAACAGAATACTAATCTCTGAAGACTTTTCATACTTTTTTGTGATAAAAGTAGTAAGAAATTAATTTTATTATATGTTTTACAACAGAGTGAATGGTTAGGAGTTCTGCACGACTTAAGAAATAAAATATAGTGTGTAAAAGACTTGTAAAATTGTGTGAAAAAATTGTTAGCCTATTTCAATAAATAACGTCTTCTGAAATTCAATCGGGATCGGGATTGGATAAAATATTTTACCGTAAATTTGTAAATTTTGTTAAGTTTTTCAACTATTTTCGAGGGAAAACATACATAAAATAATCTTGTTTTTGATTTTTTTGATAAAATATGGCACATAAATTGAAAATCATGTCAAATATATATATAATTTATTTGAGTTCATCAAATACATGAAATAAACCTCGAGTTCTCTAGGTTCTCTAGAGTTCTCTAGGGTTCTCTGTTTAGTAGGACCGCATCCCAACTATCACACATGAGTACGACACTAGCTTAGAGATCACTTTACCTGGCGTCTGTCTGTCTGTCATACCGTATACCTCAAGAACCATTAGAGGTATAGGGATTTGATATAAACTGACTCATATATTGCTCATAAGAATGGCTTTTGTAAAATACCAGGGTCAATGACCTCGTGAGCTTTGAATTTGACCTTTGACCTAATTTTCAAAATACACCATAGTTTTGATATACATACATGAATGTACATGTATAACATGTATATTCTATGAACTTTTAATGGCAATTAAGTTTCAGCTTCACAAACCAACTGGCCTTGATCTTTGGCCTATTTTCAAGAATATGCCGAACCATTAACGTATTCATAAATTTTGAGAAGCATGGCTTTGTTAAATGTTTATAACCTACTGACATTTTCTTTCAAATTTATTCATTACATTAACCACACAAAACTGAAAGTAATAATTAAAAAAGATTCTAATAGGCAGATAGAAATTTCTGGACTTGACAGAAAGGTCATTGTTGTTCTCGACTTGAGATGTAAACCGTGTGATGTCCCCATTTTTCCGCGTTAGTTCAGGATCAACTTGGGCTTGTGAATCTTGGGGATGTTGAAATAAACTTGTATTAATGGATGGTTATTTCTTATAAATTCAATTCGAATTTTCATTTTTAACTTAAATTTATATCGACTGTAACTTTTATGATAAATATTATTTATCGCTGTCTTACTCTTTGTATTTTTTAAAACTAAAATGCTAGTACAATATTTAAAAAGTTGATTAACGTCATTTAGTTTTATTTATAACATGCTATAGCATGCAACACATCCATTCCTTGGAACACCCTAGTTTAAGATTCTAATTCAAACTCCAATGGTCAACCGATATCATGCAGTAAATCTCTATGTCTGTATATCATTGTTAATTAACATTTATCTATTATTTACAAGGTCTACCTTCAGATCATTAAAAACTATAAAGTCAAAGTATACTTTTTGTATTATATATATTATAAAAATTCCTGTATAAATCTCTTATTCAATTGACCATTCAATTACATTATTTACAGTGATTAATTATCAGAGGGGGGGGGGGGGGTAACTTCTCTCAACGTAGAATACAAATTAATAGCCCTACCCAGCACCAAGCTATAGAGTCCTGTCCTTACACCAGAACCCCTGACCCAGGGGCCATGAAATTCACAATTATTGAAGAGGAACCCTTGCTCATTATACTTATGCACTTAGTGTCTTTGCTCAATACCAAAGAGGCTGAGAAGAAGAAATACATATTATTCACTGTATTATCAACAGAGCCCCTCCATCAGAACCCCTGACTCTGGAGCCACCAATTCCACAATTTTGGAAGAGGCATTATTGCTCATTATAACCATGCACCTACATGTAGTTTCTCTGCTCAACATACAAGGGGAGAGAAGAAGATTTTAAAATAATTCATGCATTTTCACTATATGATCATTAAGGCCCCAATCTTAAATCCTGAACCTCTGGCCCTGGGGATTTGAAATTCAAAATTTAGAAGAGAGCTCAATGCTTATTACAATCATGCCAACAGTCTAACTGCTTGATGCCCCAGATTAAAAAAGATTTCTTAAGATAGCATTAATCTGACGTCTCAGGTCCCAATCTCTGTCTGTAATGAGAGTGAAAACAATCAAGGGGCAAACAAAATACCAAGTTTGATCTCTACCAGAACTCAACATCATTATGGGCAATTTGCTTTCACATAATACCAAGTTTGGTCTCTGTCAGACTTCAATAGCATTATGGATATTTGCTTCTTAGAGGGAACCAGTGCTCCAAATTTGATGTTAATGTGTCAAGCAAATGGTTCTCAAGATACTGATTTAACAAAGTCATAATTTTATTATTGAAAGTGTAATGGCATAATTTTAGACAAAACATTATGCTAAAATCATAATGATTGCCAGGTTTGTATGTCTAAAGTAGTTAGACCTTAACCTTTGACCTTGTGATCTCAAAATCTTCAGTGGTCATCTACTCCTAAAGGGGTACCAGAGTACCAAATTTGATTTCTGTCAAGAAAAGGGTTCTTAAGATACTATACAACTATTACTTGAGTGCGAAAAATATCCGTGAGTTATGTGATCTTCTTTTACTCAAGAATAATTCTAGCTGCAAACCATTACTTTTTTATTTTATTTTTGTGTAGGACCTCTTCTCACTGGCGGAAATTAATCATCATGGATGGATTTCAAATTTACAAATCACAAATAAAAGATGTCACAAATAATAATTGGTTCATGGTTGAGTCATCAATATCTGCCTATGCAGTTTGACCCAATAGCAATTAAATCTACTCCTTAAGGGGATCCAATGTACCAAGCTTGATGTCTGTCATACCAGAGTCTCAAGATATTGAATGGACAATATTTTCCTAAGTCTTGAGTATTTCAACCCTTGAACTTTGACCTTGTGACCTTAAAAGACAATAGGGGTCATCTACTTTTTTTGGGGGGGGGGGGGGTACCAGTGTACCAAGTTTGATGTTTGTCAAGCAAAGAGTTCTCAAGATATTGAGCGAACAACACTTGCTTACAGTTTTAAAGCAATATGCCCTCTTTTTTTCAAGTCGGGGGAATTAAACATCTAATCTTAGCGACATTCTTTGGTGGTTTGTAAAGTACAATATTTCTTTGTGCCTAGTCTTGCTTGTTAGAGTGATGTATTACATTATCAAATTTCTAAAGACACAAAATTTTTGGAAAAAAATGTATACTTACACCTCCATCTTGATGCAGGTCTTAACTAATTGTGGATATAAACTTTTGGCATGTTATGTTAAGCATATTTGTAAAAGAGGCCTAAGGGCCTTACTGGTCACCTGAGTGCACTGTCATACAACACAATTAATGTTCCATAGAAGTATAATATACAGTTGAACTATGGTAGCTCAAACATGGATATCTCGAATACCTTGGATATGTTGAAGTCATTTGGAAGTCCCAAGCACTTTTTCTTTAAGTATTTTACCCTCAATATTTCAAACCATCAGATATCTCGAAGTTTTTTCTCGGTCCCATCAAGTTCGAGATAACAAGGTTTGACTGTTAAATAATCTACTGATAGATGAAGATATGCTGCCCAAACACATGAGAAAGAGGATGATCAGGGATGAACAGAATAGTTAATGTCGTAATCATAAAGAAGAAAAATAAATTCTGTTCGCACTTGCCAGTCCTAATACACTCCCATTTGTCACTATCATCATGCAGAGTAGGTCTACCTGGCCATTAAAAACTATGTACTTTTTGTAATATACATTAAAAATTCTAGTATACCATAATTCATTTATTCAAATTTATTTATTTATTATTTTCAGTATTTATTGTGATTAACTATCATAGGTGAATATCAAAGGGAAACTAGTGGGTATTGTTTTTTTTTTAAACAAAAAAAAGCATGTCTCCCCTGCTTTACCGACATTAACAAGTGCAATAATATGATCAGGGTCAAATATAATAATGCAGTGCATCTCAGATTAAATTCCTCAATCTCTGTAGAAAATTTCAAGTCTTCACTTCAAAAGGATCTTAAATTATGGTCTGGTCATGTTTTTCTTAATTTGACCTTAAATGAAGGTAACAGTCAAATATTTTGATGCAGTGCATTTAGTCTTGCTACTGTCTTTCCTGGTTCCAAGTTTCAAATCCTAATGTCAAAAAGTTCGCAAGTTATACCACCTCTACATGTTCCAAGTTTGAAGTCTAAATGTGAAAGGGTTTGTGTTTACTCAATTTGACCTTGATGAAGAAAGGGATCAAGGTCAAAATTTTGGTGCAGTGCATCTTGTATTAATGTTTTCTTATGATGTTCCAAGTTTGAAATCCTAATATCAAAGGGTTCTCAGGTCATGGCCTGGACTCTATTTTGATGTAAAAGATTGACCTTGACCTTATAAATTGGATCAAGGTCAAAATTTTGGTGGCATGCATCCCTCCTTCAGGGATCTCAAGTTATGGCCTGGACTCTATTTGGATGTAAAAGTTTGACCTTATAAATAGGTCAAGGTAAAAAAAATTTGGTGGCGTACACTCCTTCTCAATGTCATCTATCTATGTTCCAAGTTTGAAGTCATGTCAAAGGGTATTTAAGTGATAAGGTTCAGATAAAGATATATCTTCCCTGAAATTTTCAAGTTAATCAATTGAGCCATCTCTGAGAAATGTTCTGCATATCCTTTCAAATAAAAAAAAAAAACCATGGTTATCGATAATGTATTTTCTTCAGTGGTAAACATATACATTATATACAAAATAAGACAAAATACATATATAATGTTAAAATGAAATAAATATATGGCTATAATGCACAAGAATTGGTTGTACAATCTGGAAGGCCACTTATACTGACATGGAATGGTGTATGGAGAGCATCACAAAACTGGTTATATACATAAACAATAATCATATAAAGATGTACACAATGGATTCCTAACCAACAGCTGACTAGATAATGTACACATACAATATGTATGTGCAAGGTCAAGGATGTACAGTAGTATTGTTCTTACTCTGACATAATAGAGTTTATGCTTAAAATCAATGTACATGGCATAACTTTTAATTTTAATAAACTTAACACACTAAATTTCTTACACATAAAGAAATATTTTCTATTAATGATGAAAAATAATGCTATTCTGAATCTTATTTTCAAACAAATTAATATAAATGATTTGTGATGCATCAGAATGAAACATAACACATTGTTCACTGTGTATCGAGTAAGATTTTACCGAGTCTACACACTTACAGATTCGATCGTGTGTTTTGCTCACTCTGAATGAAAAAAAAAAATATTGTTAGTAAACAATACAATATCACTTTCAGTGCACAACCATGAATGAACTGAAATAATGTTTTTCTTCCAACATGAAATTTGTGATATATTCTGATAAATGATTTTTACAAATAATTTTATATACAACAGTATGAGTATTTATCTGCAATGCTTTCAGTAAACAAGTAATCAAGATGAAGTGTATTGTTTTTCATATATACAAATAATAAATATAACAGGATCATGTTATCAATGAAAATTCACAGTTAATTCACCAAAATATTATACCCAGCTTATGGGATTCAACATGATCTGCATGAACACGTCCTGTAATACTTTATTTCAGACATATTTTTGATCAAAATACCGTATTTAGCATTATAAACAGTCATGGATTTCATAAATTCAAAATTTCTATCACATTAGGATATCACTGAAGAATGTCTCTATCATTTTTGTTGAGTTATCCCCCTTTACATGGAGTAATTTCTACTGTCTGTCTATCGTTTGGAAAAACCACTCGGTAAATTTGCGGAGCTGTGCGGCAGCAGTCTGTGATTCCTCCTGAAGGCGGATATTGTCTCGTCTTAGCGACTCCACTTCTGCCTCCAGATCAGCATTCTCTTTCCTCTCCTGATTAATATAATGAATGCCATATCATGAATAGTTGAAAAAGCAAAGATGTGACTTTATGAAATACAATTTCATCTGGCAAAATGGTTAATCATGTATGAATACTGGTATCTAGGTGAATTAAAACTTCAACAATTCATTTTCCTTTTTTCAAGTCAAAATTCAACATGAACTAGGGCTAATTGTAATGGGAACTGTTACAGATGTTCCCTGAACACTTCACCACTCCATTATGGGTCCCATTGCCTACAAGCTTCATTAAACTAAGCAATTCTTTTGTGTAATAAATCTACTTTATTTTCAGAAGTATTTAATCGAAAAACGACGCCGGTATAGTCCACTGAGCACTAGCCAATCGGATTTCAGAGCATGCACATGCCCATGTTTTCTAGATATTTCACGTCTTCCCCGTAAAGAGACTCACAATAAATATCTATATGTTAGAACTCTCAAACATATTTATTGAAAACTATGAGAGATACAGCCATATAAGTATTAGCCAATCAGAATCCAGCACGCGTGCATGCATGTTCTTGCATTCAATTTTGATAGTAGCACAATGTAGGAACCCATTATACCTATCTGTATTCTAAATTTCATCCTGTTTTGTTGAAAACTAAGAAAGTTACAGCAATTTAAGTTTAAGCCAATCAAATTGCAGCACACTTGCATGGGCACATTTTCACAATATCTCATATACATGATAATAATGTAGAACCTCCTTATGTATGACTATGTTTTAAATTTCAAAGTATTTTGTCAAAAAACAAGAAGATTGTTGAGATTTTTTGTGTCAGTCAATCAGAGCAAAGCACACGTGCATGCGCATGCTTTCTTGCTCAGGTTGAGACCACTAGATTTTCTGACATCAGCATAAATTTGCATGCTAAATTAGCTATCTGTTTACTTAACCAACTGTTGAATGAGTTGCAATGCATTGTGGGCTACTATAGGTATCAATGCAAACTCAGGTGTATTGAGAATAAAGAGGAAATTTAATTGTCCCTTGGAAAGTCATTTTCAATTCTTTTTTGATACTAATGAAAGAAATATTGAAAATGATGTATAATCTTTCATTTCTATGCTCACATTTACAAAATTTTCTTTATGAAGCCTTATATCAACTTGTAATACAATGGCGTAAACTACTGTTCTAAGAGACATTGGTGCGACTGTGTCGATAGAGCAGCGAGTGTGTTTTTTTCACGTGATATACATGTACATAGTTTAGACAGCTGTATAATGTGCTCAATTATTATTTCACTCCTCAATATCATCAAAATGTTTTTATGTACATTCAAACGTCAAAGCGTTTGTCCGGTATTTGAAGCAACTATTAATCATCTAAAACAACTCCAGTATTAAATGTGAGCATGGAACAGTGTCTTTCGAATATAATTTTTCAATTTCAGCCTTATAAAGTAAAAAGAAATTGTTTAGTTTTTCCGGTGACAAATCAAATATTAAGTAGTAGACCGACAAAAACCACATGTCGCTGTTGAATCGTAAACATGTAGTAATCCATCATGCTTTGCGATTCATTCAATTGATTGGGGAATGGGTTTGATGAAAACATAGTCACGTGTTGAAAAGTGCATTCCATAAAAGGTAGTGTACCCGACCTGTTGCTAATTCAGCCATCTCATCTTGTCTACACCACTAATATACATTTATATAATATGGTTCAAAGCATATTATCAAAAAATAGGAAGGTTAAAGCTTTTCCAATTGTATCTGTCATTTCACTCCTCACATGCGAACGCACATTCATGCAAGTGCGTGCAAAATGACCTTCGTCATTACTTGAAAAATACAACTAAATAATTAAAATATTGAACATAAAATATTTCAAAATTCATGTTTACACAAAACTTTTATTTTTTTCTTTTCAGTTCTAGAAAATAATGAATATTTGACTGGATATAATAAATTATGGATATAATGAATTACAAATATTTTGAATTAGAGATTCAACAAAGCAACTCCTATTGTCCCTAGGAATTTGTCTTTTACTGTATTAACAGGGATTGTTACCTTATCAAGGTCCATTTCTAACTGCTCTACTTTGATCTCCAGCTCCTGAATTCTCTGCTGTGGGTTGGATACGGCAGACCTCCACACTGAACTTCTGTCAATACAAGGGCAAGGTCAATCATGTATAGTACATTCTTCTCTCTCTTTATGTCACACTTTCTTTAAAACATGCATTAGTTTTCTAACATTATTGATTAGGCTTACCCCTGTGGCTGGTTTGTTGGGGGTTTTGTGGTGTAGCTGTTGCTTGGTTTTTTGACCCCAGATTTACCAGGTTCGGGAGGGAGAGCTCTGTCCTTTGGATCTCTAGCAGAAGAACTCCTGGACTTGGAGCCATCTGTACCTTAAACCCAGAAAAAGAGATGTCTTGCTAAATAAAGAACTCATGCACAATAAATGTGACGACAATTTTATAAACATTGATTTTGCCTGCACTGAGGATGCACTTTTGTACTGTCTACATATAAATGATAAAGAAAAATAAAAAAAGGTCTTTATCATTTAGTTTTTTCCCCACAAGAACATCACATTTCACATTGTTAAACTAAAAAAAATCACACACACAGCAAAAATAATTTTAAGTACACTAATAAGGGCCTTACCTCTTCTAGCAGACATGATCCTACACACACTTTACAGAGTTTACCTGTCATTGATTATTTTATTGAGTACTTTCTGTATCAGACAGCACACCTGAGACATCAGTGATGCAGACCTATAATTCACTGTTAAGCAGATATCTAATGGATCATGTCAAAGTGATCTAAAAGCTTGCACTGAATCAACCAAGGAATGAATGTTGCACTTGACTGACTATGTGGAACATTGGAAAATTAAGATATCCATGTCTAGTAATTAAATTAAGAGCTTTAAAACTCACCTTTTCCGCAATTCTGAATTCCATTATAGGACAAGGCTAATATAAGTTTCTGAAGGAAATTGAATACTAGCAAGATCTATCAATGTGCTGAAACTTCACTTACTTTCTATGGCCTTTGTGGCTACATTGACCAGGTTTGACCAGTCTAAGCTGGCGGCTGACTCTGGGAGAGGAACAGGGTTCTGTTGGGTTCTGGGTTGAGCAGCTGCAGCATTTCGACTCAATACCTGTCGTGCTTTGGCTGCCATAGCGCTGTCCAACATGGCACGAGGAGACAACCTGAAATATCAAGATCACAAGTCAAAAGGAGTATATATTTAAAAACAAATCAGTATTAGGCACAACAAAATTTACATTATTCAATGAGGAACTTCTGATGAAAAATTTCACTTTAATAAATATCCAACTAGTCTACTGGAGAAATTCTAACCTACATATGAAATTACATATCCTTATTCCAGTATCTGTCCACAAAACACATCATTGATTTTTTTAAAATTCAGCATCAATGATTAAAAAGTGTATGCTAAGTATCCGGTATGTATTCCTTTTCTGTTACACTTCCAAGCTTGAAAAGAAACTCCCTATGTGGGAGAAATATAAAAGACTGGGGATATCAGATACAAATGATTTCCTCTTTATAAATTGCTCAACATTCTTTTTTTAAACACTGGGTCACTTAGGTTTATTAATTAAAAATACCTTGCATCTCCCAGCACCTCCTTAGGTAGTGCAGGGACAGGAGGGGCTGTGGAGAAAATGAGGTCGGCCACAATGGCATCTCGGGAGGGGGATATGGTGGCACCCTTCTGACTGTGGAGGCTTTCATCAGACATGGTTCTCTTCAGTGGAAAAGAAGGTCTTTCTATAGAGCTGCCCTGCTTAAATTTATTCACATCATCAAATAATGTGTTATATCATAATAGCTTATCACTGTAAGAGACTGGAATAACACAGTGATGATAAAACATTTAATGATATGAGCTTTTTTTAATAACCCATGAGGCTGTATCATCCACCTTTATCGTTATATGTATATATATCAAGCTGATAAGGCAGAGTGTGTAATGAAGGTGACTAACTAATATCTTGCTTGTCAGAAACTTCCTTCTTACAGCACTAAAAAAAATTACATCAACATCAAAATGTTACTCACTTATCCTCACAGTCTTAAAACAAATGCAGTAACTCATACTAAGTAAAAAGCTTCCTACGTGTATTGTTTCTTACCAGTATTCCTCTGAGGTCACTGTTTTTGAGGTCCATGTCAATCAAGCGTTTGAGGTCCTCTTGAAGTTCATTGGACTGTGTCTTGGAGTGTTTACCATTCACACCTGGACGGAGGCGGGTATTCAAGGATTCCTCTGATGACATTCCACTCAGGTTCCTAAAGATTCACATTTAAAAAATACTGTTTTAGTTTGCAATATTGCATTTATGTTTCTTTTGGATTCACTTTGAAACACAAATGGGACATTCAGAATGCTTCTAACTTGAGTAAATTTGATTCATTTTCAAATTGGAATTGAATCCCCATATCTTGATTTAAAAATATATCAAGTAGGTAATCAGGTGTACTAGTATTTAAATCTGTGATACATACATGTATACAAATAGTTAGCATCATTGACTGAAGCAGAACTGGCTGTTTGGTGCAAATATTCAGATGTTAAAAATAGAAGTGTTTTTGTTCTATGTCAAAAAATCCTGATATTTGTTGCTATCTTCTAGATAAAAACATGCATTATTACTACATGCCTGGTCAGTGCCAATTTACCAAGAATAAACTTTACCTGGCATGAAATTTTTTTTATTAATTCTGCTTGTTTGTCAGTGAATTGTGCTTTACTAAAAGTTGACATACTTTTGAGAAGATCTTGGGCTGCCATTTTCACTGCTGAGTGGGGACACCTCTGACAGGTGGGTCCTCCTGTGACCACTGGGCCGACCTTTGCTGTTCGCTGAGGTAGGATCTGCTCTCTTCTTACCAACATTTGTTAAATCATCTATAATAACAAATACACAAAAAATTTATAAAATTTCATCAAACACAACCATATATTTTTTTAAACTTAGCTGTTCATTATAAAGCAATATGTCCCTGATGCTCTTGCCAATTCTACAACTTCCTCAGATCCTCCACTTAAAAAGTTTGAAATTTTTGAAATACAATTACTTTCTTACAGCATGAGTCATGTCTTAATATTTTGTCTTTGAAAATAACAAAAACTTCAGCATTCAACTGAAGATGCTCTTATTTTCTACTTTTCTTGGATCCCTGAATTATATGAGCATGCTTCTCATCCAAAGATTACATTGGGGACTTATTCATATGTACCGTAATAGAAAGGAAAAGTTCTCCCTATTTACATTGAATAGATATTTTGCTGATAGGACAAACTGGGGAATGATCAGGTGTTCATATGGATAAAAAAAACAATCAATATACTATACCCTGGAATGTCAATGTCCTCTTTACAAATTGTCAATTAATCTAAAAATAATATAATGATCAATGCATGGACAGAGACTTTAGCCAAGGGGGATGATCATTCCAAATGATCTGACCTCATCTTTCTTTAACAAATCTATTAAGATTTCTTTTGAAGTAGAATAATATTACCCCTAGAGCTGCTGCTGTGGTAACTTGGGTCATTGTAACCCCGCTGTCCCGGCACTGCTCCCGAGTTATGAGATGATCCGCTGGAGAATGAAGTGTCACTAAGATTCACACTAGAATTAGTACTCCTCACACCAGACTCCTGACTCAATAAATACTTAGAGTTCTGGGTCTGTTTCATTAATTCCAGTGATATATTGCCATGCTGCACAGCAGAGTAATCCCCCCCTGGGCCTGAGTATTTCCGTGTAAAGTTACTGGACTGTAAAGAGGACATGCTTGCTGGAACACTTTCTGACATATGAAGAGTATTGCCATAGGAGCCCGAGTCACCACTGGAATTTGTGGGATCCTGCCTCCTTATCTGTAATATGGACAAAGGTCAAACCATATTGCTTCAGTGCGAAAGTATTTTTCAAACTTAGCACAACAGTTCACACAGTGACTTCAATAAATTTAGAATCCTTGACAATAGATCCTATTTGTCTTAATTACTGTCAAAACCTGCATGTAGAGCTAAACCTGTTGGAAATATTTTGGTTATTTACCAGTCAAGTATTTAGGCCATCTGTTTCAGAAGCCATTTATCACTCAACACTACACATAACTTACCTGATTGTATGTGGCACGAGTGCTAGACCAAGGTCTGGGAGCTGTAAAAGTAATGGTATAGCTATATCAATTCAACATGTTTTCATAGCAATACAGTAAACATAATTAATTTCACACATTCTTTTAAAATGGCATATTTACATAGCACATGCAAATTATGCATAGACAAAATACCACAGTGTTAATGACCAAGGTCCCTAATTGGAATGCTGCAGATATGAATCTACTACCAGCATAACACTCCACAGCAACTTAAAAAAATAGACTGCTTCTAACAGTATTTTCATGATAACATAAAACTTGATTTTGAAACAATCTTTACACAAGCTGTAAGAAAACAGACTGAAGGACTGCTTGATGAAACTTCTTCCCAAACTACCTGTTCTTCTGTACATAATCTAATCCAGAGAATTATCACAAGTAAAGTTTCGTTAAAGTTAGCATCTTATCAAAAACAATGTTAGAAATGTTATTATCCTTGATTAACCAACTCAGCATTTGGCACATTACAAATCCTCTAACTAAGACTCAAGCAGACAGCTTTATAAATACACTTTCTTACAAACACTTGATATATACTGTCAGCCAAAAATTTTACTGACTTGAAAAACTCGCAAACAAATAAAATAAACTTAATAAACTTAAAATTAGAATGTGATCACTGGTTCACATAATTACATTACCTTAACTAATATATAAACCTTGAAATACATGTACACACAAACCAGAATACTGTATTTCAGTGCTCTTCATAGATGTACCGGTACACTTGATATATGGAACTTAATTAATTACACCTCATCAATCAAAGAAGAAATCAAGAAATTTCACACACAACCATGACCTGACTTAAAATAGCTCAATGAATTGGAACATTTATTACCATAAGGTAAAGAAACTTTCTACATAAATATAAACAAGAGTTTTCAATTAAAGGGGAAAAAATGTAAAAGCTTTGAATTTTCTATCCATTTAACAGTAATTTTCGACATCATAAATTTCCAGGGCAGGTCTGAAACATTTATCCCTGCTTCTGTTCTTGTGTCTTAAAATACATCAACAATTTTAGAACACACTGTACATTAATAACCAACATGTGTTTCCACTCAAATCATGCAGCAGATCAAGTTTTTAATAAATTAATACACAGTAAGGTTTAACTTTGAGCAACTTCTATGAATAATAATTACAAATTTAATCTGAGCCATTTAAATTTCCTGCTCAAAGGTTAAAGAGAAACAAGAATAAAGAATTGTGGTCCCCTGAATTTGTTATCTTAGTGATTTGGAATGCATTATCTATGGCATATTGTAATTGCCTTATTGAAAAGGACTGTAAGATTAAACTTAAAGGTCAAAGTCACAAGGTCAAAAAACAAGTAATGCATTGAAAATAAATGCCCTTCTTCTGCCATTCAAAAGTTACTAGCAATATTAAAATTTTTGATAAGTAGGTCAAACTTCTAGGTCAAGGTCATGGGGTTAAAAATCATAGTGCATTTGGAAAGGTCTTCTCACAGGTAAAGCACACGTCAAATATGAATGTCCTTTCTTCTCTCCTTCAAAAGTTAGAAGCAATGGATATAGTTTTTGAAAAGTAGGTCAAACATGAAGGTTAAGGTCACATGGTCAAATATCAAAGCACATTCAAACTTCTTGTCACAGATGATGCATTTGTCAAATAAGAACGTCTCATCTTCTGTCATTCAAAAGTTATCACTAATGTTAAAATTTTTGAAAATATTCAAGGTCAAACTTCAAGATGAGGATATGGGGTCAAAAATCAAAGCATGTCCGGAAAAGTCTTGTTACAGGTAATGCACATGTCAAAAATGAATGCTCTGTCTTCTTTATTCAAAAGTTATAACCAAAGTTAAAATTTTTGAGAAGTAGGACAAACTTCAAGGTCAAGGTCATGGGGTCATAAATGATGGTACATTTGGAAAAGCAACCTTTAATGTACCGTACATTTAAAATCAGAATGTTAAGCAAATGAATAAGTTTACAAGATAATTTTTAGATGATCTGCAAACTAATTTTGCACAAAAGGTAATAAATCCTACTATACAAGTGAATGCAGAAATCCATACAGTGTGTTCTATATCACTTTTCATACACATGTAATATGATACTTTGACTAATTCAATAATAATAATACAAAAAAATAATATCAACTTACCCACAGTTGTTTTATTCCAATCTCAGATTTAGCCTCTTTACTGAGCTCATAAAATGTTCTTAACTAGTATCCCTGAGTTTTCTATATTTTCTTACCTCCACTAAGATACTGGTAGTCCCCACTGTCCCTGGACCCTGACCTCTCACGTTTCCCATCATCTGACCTAAGTGTGTCTTACCTCCACTAAGATACTGTAGTCCCCACTGTCCCTGGACCCTGACCTCTCATGTTTCCCATCGTCTGACCTAAGTGTGTCTTACCTCCACTAAGATACTGGTAGTCCCCACTGTCCCTGGACCCTGACCTCTCATGTTTCCCATCGTCTGACCTAAGTGTGTCTTACCTCCACTAAGTTACTGGTAGTCCCCACTGTCTCTGGACCCTGACCTCTCATGTTTCCCATCATCTGACCTAAGTGTGTCTTACCTCCACTAAGATACTGGTAGTCTCCACTGTCCCTGGACCCTGACCTCTCATGTTTCCCATCATCTGACCTAAGTGTGTCTTACCTCCACTAAGATACTGGTAGTCCCCACTGTCCCTTGACCCTGACCTCTCATGTTTCCCATCATCTGACCTAAGTGTGTCTTACCTCCACTAAGATACTGGTAGTCCCCACTGTCCCTTGACCCTGACCTCTCATGTTTCCCATCGTCTGACCTAAGTGTGTCCGTTTGCCGGGAGGTGTAACCTTCATCATATGGACTGGATGTCTTGGACATCAAAGCTGTGTCTGTAAAGGCATGATGAAGCCCTGCTCCTCTTTGAAGACTTGATGTTGCCAGGGGACGATAACCAGGTACAAGGCTCTTCACAGGTGAATGTCTGTCACTCCTACACAAGGACAAACACAATCTCATATATATATACTAAATACACATGCAGGAACAAACATTAAATCTTTAGAAATGAAGATTGTTATTCTCTTGTTTTGGAATTCATTATCTAACTTTTCATGATTTGTATTCCTTGGCTTTTGTATGGATATAGGAGGTTGTACACTCTGGACATATTTAGTTCTGTGATATAATGCGGACAGAATGAAGGCAGTAGTTCTTCAGTGATATTAATTTGTTTAATAAAAATAATTGTTAGCTTTATCATGCCTAGAAATTTAAGGTAGCTGATACTGTTTTCAAACAAGGAAATAGGGGTATACAGATGCTATTCAAAAAGAAATAGAATGAAGTATTGGAATACTAACAGTATAAAAATTCAATATATTACACGTATTGCGACATATTTTCATCATAAATTACGACATCAAAATTTTAAAACAATCTATAATTAAATAAATTGCCCTAACCAGCTAAAAATGCACATTCACATATTAGTGAAAAGAAATTCCCAATTATTAAAAGTTTTACTAAGTAAAATATACTATGTATATGAAAAATAAAATAACCTAAGAGAAGCCATTTTACCCTCAAACACCTTCAGACAAATCATATCTAATCTAACACATTGTAAACAATAAAAAATAATGTACATTAAAAGAGCTTAAAGAAGCATTCAATAAATGAAAATGAATGTAAATGAATATCTGATGAAAATCAGTAGAACTGACTTCAGAAATGAAATAAAAGCTGTAAAATAAAACAAAACTGATAGAGGAATGCTGCAAAAGAAATACCGAAATAAAAGACCAAGGCTGGAAATTAATCGTGCATATTAACATATCATCAAAGCATGCAAATTATTAATCATGCAGATTTACAAGTCCCACAGCCACTAAGCAGACATAGCATGCATATAAACTGGTACCTAGTGGGGGTTGATGGCTTTCTGTTGTGAGGGAGGGTCTGAAAACCCCTTTGACTTGGGGATTCAGCTCTGGGGGGATCCTTCTGGGTGGGACTTGTGGCAAACTCACTGGAACTTGAGGAAAGTCGGATGTCCAGTTTCAGACTTGAATTGGAATTTAGCGAATCCCTCAGATGGAAAGACTGTTCACTTGAACTGCTGGATAATTGAGATGGCTGATCTTCAGGTGAGAACAGATTCTCATTTGACCCAGAAAATATACTGGCAAACTCGGTTTTGAGGAACTCCATACTCAAGGTCTCGGTGGAAGTGGTGAGGTCTGTCTTGTGTCTCTGATACAGATACTCAGACGAGTCCGAGGATGTCTTACACAGACTGTGGTGGGAACCATTCAGTGGGCTCAGCAGTGGGACAGACTTCTGTCCCATTAGGGCCTCCTTTTGTCTCTGTTGCACATTTTGTGTGGCCTTGCAGGCCGCCTTGAGGGTATTTAATGATGTATATCGGCAGTTAGTGAGTAATGTGGTGACACCCCTGCCAAAAGCAATCAATACCAGATACACAACCCAGTGCATACAAGTCATATCAAGTAACCTCAGTGCATAGAGGTCAAGGTCAACAACTCTCCTGTCTTGTAAATCACTCACAGGATAAATTTACTGGTATATGGAAGAATTGTCAACTTTATATATATGATAAATACAAATGGTTAATAATGACGCCATGATTATGTGACATGTAACAGCATGCATACTGATTGATGAACTGATGGGTGAGATGATGTCTAAATGATAAGATCCAGCAAATGGTTAAAAAAAACATTAATATTTGGATGACAGATAAAATAACTACTCTATAAGAAAAAGTTTTGCTTATTTGTTAATTAAAATTTAAATAACATCTATATGTAAACAAGAAAAAAAAAATCTACTAATTGTTTGGTATGATGATATTGAGATGAGTGATATTGTTTCTACCTATATTACAACGACTGATGAATGAGATGTCAAATTGACAAACAGAAAAATTCTAATCTTAGCAAAATAATCCAATCCTCCAAACCATATGTCCCTTTTCATGTCCACATGTTCAAGTATTTTCATATTTCATGGACTACTGTGGAATCATTTTAATTCTTTGGGGGAAGGGGTTTCAATCTTTGTGGGCTACCAAAATTTTACTGGTTCTTGGAGACATAATTTCATGAGTAATCAATGAACTTACGTTGTATACTGATAAAGATAGCTTGTTGGGATGTAATTCATGGGTAAAGGTGACCAAGGAATTCCACACAGACTAGTCCCCTATGAACAATGATTCCACAGTATATTTTAATTTACACCCCACAAAATTTAGTACCAGAAACAAACTGATATATACATGATATCTGTACATACTTATTTAAGTTTATTCAATATTTTGGGCAATCATAGTTTGGGCTGCTTGGCACAATTATAAATTAATGCTTATACATGTAGTATTTATTTCTATGTAATCAACCTTTAAAAGGTCATATTATTCTGGCAATGATCATAAAAGATCACACTATAAACTAGGAAAAAGGTGCCCAAATATGAACCTGCTTAATTAAGTACACGTACAGTAAGTCATTTAATGGTAAATGAAACCTTGCAAAAAACCAGTTATAAAAGAAGTCCTGATTGTAAGAGATGTATTTAATAATACTGTACCTCGGAGTTCCGTCTAACAGAGGAGGTATCATTGTGACCTTCACCGTCTGAGAGGTTCTCAATAGATCCACCATATCCTCATGACTGAGATTGGTCACAGCTACTTTACAGATCTCCACCAGGCGGCTACCCTTCAGCAATCCCACCTCATGGGCAAAACTGTTCTTTTCTACATCAGTCACAATGGCATCAGCATTGATGTGGAAACCTAGCTGTCCCAGGCCATTCCTTTTTAGGGTTTTTTCCTCAGTCTAATTATAAATATACACATGTATTTGGATTACAGTAAAACTTGTTTAGTAAGAACACATATATATCAAATTCATGAATATAGCAAAATTAATATGGGGATGCCAGGCAATACTCTAAACAATTATTAAAAAATTTTTATGGTTATAACTAACTCTTATATAACAAATTTATAGATATAGTAATTTTGTGTCCTGTAGATGTTAAAAATGATGAAATTTACAATTCTTAAAATATTGAACTGACTTTAATTTTCCTTAAATATTTAAAATTATGAAATTCAGTTTATCATAAAACCTTCATTATTCAAGGTATGTTTTGTATAAATGCTTCCCTAACATATTCAGTGTCATACTTGAAGTAAAACATATAAATGTATATTGCTAATTCATTATAATTATATACTTTAACAAATTCCTTATATATATAACAAATAACATGCATAGCAAATGAAATTCAAAGGTCCCCAGGATTTGCTATAACCAAGTTTTACTGTATTAAAAACCATGAAACAAAAATGTAATCTATTACATAGCATTCAATGGGAAGTAAATTTAATCATAATCCAGAGAATGTAAGACTAGAATAAGACGTATTTTTTATCAACTATCAAAAAGCTTTTTGCATTGTATTTTGGTCCTTCAAAGTGCAATGGTACAAGAACAATAACTCCTGAAAATCAGCAGCATTCTGTTAACTTACGGGACATCCAGGTGTCACTGCCCGAAGCCTGCAACAGATCTCGTCCGTTTCCTCCATCTCACCACTGAGGAGCCGCACCAAAATACTCTCCTCCTGATTGAAGTATATCTTAATGCTGAAAATTAAAATAAAAACTCTTGTAAACAGAAATCATTATAATAAAGTTTCTGATTATGAAATGTTTGAAAATAGAATTCTGTACATATGAAGTGGAACTGCCCACCTGTTTGCCTGAGCTGTCCAGCCAATAACTGCCCCACAATGGACTGTGAAGATGACACTTTTAGAGCTTTCCTCTTCAATGACCAGGACTTCTGAGGAGATAGCCAGGACAGAATCTACCTGAGAGCCTGAACCAAAGTCTTCAACCTGTAATAAACACAGGTGAATAGTAATCCCACTCGCTTTTCAAGTTTCATGCCCAGGATGATTACTGTATGTGTACATAAAAAGTGGGCTTCATATTTTAACAGCTTTGGCACAGACAATGATGCGCTAATTCATGAATACTGCTAAGAAATTATTTATCAATACAATACTTGGCATGGACATGTGTAGCGTTAATTCATGATTACATCAACAACTCCATACCCCGTGATTACACTAAATTTTAAATATGCCAATTTATGTACATGTACAGTATTTTTTTCATTTACTTTTAACTGTCAGTCATTACAACTGTTGCTCAATTATACAAAATCATGACCAAGGTTCAACACTAAGGTAGGCCACTTATCCAAGACAACTTAAAATTGAGATTGGGCTACTAAATAAGACATCAAGCTTGCCACACAGGGTCACCAAAAGTTTGTTTATCAAATACTCACTTAAACCATTATAAAGACTTAGAAAAGAGAAATGTACATGCATAGCAAATTTTGAATTTGCAAGCAAGATTTAAATACTGTTTGAAATATTGCCGTCAGATAAGTCGCACTGTCCAACTTTGTTATGGCTCAACTGTTTTGGTCCAGCCTATCAATAAATCTCATGTGTATCCTTATCAGTTCAGTGTTTGAAGCTAGGATGTAAAAACAAAGAATACAAGCAATGCACTGACATTGACAATTGACAGGGAAAAATGTAGAATATATGAATTTTTCTTTCAATAAGGAAATAGACAAACTTATGCCCTAGAATACAGCCAAAATGGCAAGATAGGGCATATGTTTTCAAAAATTCCCAGGGGAAGCCCCCGTACCTCCACTAGCAGGAGAGAAGACCCCCTTCTGCACCCCTCCATCATCAGACAACTAATTAAATAACAGGGCTAGAAGGGTTTCAAAGTTGCTAGCCTTGAGGGCTATTATGCCTTAAAAATTAGCGTCCACCTCTCATGTCACCGAAAGAATAAAATACCTGTACATTCCAAATAATGGCACCTGTGGCATACATATCTGGAACAACTTTTTGTTTCACTTTATCTTTCTTTCGACCACTTCCAAGGGAAAATTTACCTACATAAATAACAACACATTGCTTAAGAGACCTCTTTCACGGTGTCAATGATAACATCAATATTAAAGAAATGCCTATCTTAAATGTTGTTAACATATGAACATTTTTAAAATTAATTGATGCAACTTGCTTAGTTTGGAAGAGTCCAGAGTAGTTGTGGTCACATGGTTCTGAGCCAGATCTTTGAGGTATTCGGTTCTGGTGCGAGTTGCCATGGCAATGAACTTTTCACATTTGTGAGCTGCGTTTTCCGCATTAATGACTGCAATAAGATACACATCAAATCACTAGGCATACATTTTCTCTTTATAGGTACAATCATTTGTTTAATATGCTACAGGAAAAGTTATAAAATTGAAAATGTTAACATTAATCTGTTATTTGATTTAAAACCTGATACTCCTCCCAAGCTCACACTCTCCCACTGAATCCACTACTTTTAAAAAAGGTGAGTCTGTGAGACATGAATTAGGAGAACCAATTTTTCTGTATGCCATTTTTATGTGAGAAAATGGCTAACCTTTAGCAAGCAGGAATTCAGCAAACTGATCTGATCTTGGGAACATGGCATTCTCTGGGATATGTGGACCAAATGGGGGGACATCTTTGGATCTTGTGACAGCAATACTGAAACAGAATCAAGCCTATTGATACATAAATTCATGTCCAGTTTGAAATAACAAAGTACAAGTGTGCATACAAAGCAAAAAATCTAGTCCTATGTTCTCAAAAAAAGTAAGGTGTACGGCATTTCAGGATTTAAATCAGGTTAAATCCTCTGAAGTTTTTTTCATTCTAGTTAATATGACAGAATATATGTTAAATCTGAACAACAAACCTGTAGCGGACATTTTCTGTACATGGATTATGAGCTCGAACAATGATGAAAACATGTTGGAATTGGGATCTGACTGTTTTAGGAGTGAATGGCTGAGCCCCAGGCTCTTGAAAGACAATGGTTACAATGTCATTTCCAATGTGTCGCTTGCGTAGTAACTGAAACACAAAAAAGAAGTATTACTCTATGCTCACATCATTGCTTCTCTGAAAAAGCAGTTCAAATACTATGTATTACAAATCAAAACATGAGGCCACAATGCTTAGTTGAGTCTCTATGGCCCTGCTGTTCTTCATCAGCAGATTTCCCCCTCATAATTCCTATGTAAAACTTTGATCACATATTGTGGTCCCACCCTACCCCATGAAGTTGATTTAAATAAATTTGAATCTACACTACCCAAGGATGTTTCCAAATAAATATGACTAATCATGGCTTTGCTGCTCTTAGGAGGAAGATTTTTAAAAGATTTTTCCTTTACATTCCTATATAAAAGTGATTGCCCATTGTGACCCCACCTTATCCCCAGGAGTCATGATTGAATCTTCATTACCTGAGGATGTTTACATATAACTTACCAGGGCTTTGCTGTTCTGGAAAAGAAAATTTTTTGAAGATTTTTCCTATAAACTTATATCACATATTGTGGGTGCACAATACCCCCAGGGGTCATGGCTAGAAAATCTTGAATCTACATTAACCTGGGGATGCTTCAATATAAATATGAGTAACCATGGCTTTGCTATTCTGGAGAAGAAGATTTTTAAGATATTTTCCTAAGTATTACTAGTACATAGAGGTTTTGTATGGCTAGAAAAAGACAGCCTCAAACTGCTTTTAAAAATTGTATTTCAAGTTATGCCTTTACGTAAAAAAAAAAAAGAAAAGAAAAGAAATAAATTAATTTTAAAAAATCCTACCTACCAACTCTACTTTTTATAAGCATTTAGAACAAATGTAGTTAACAAGTATATTTTCTTAGGACTAGTATTTGTAACTTTTAAAGTGACACTTAAAACTTTATATATACTTCATTATTTAAAACTTCTGATAATAACTAGTAGTCAGTGTGATATCCAGTGGTCAGTTGATAACCAGTGGTCCATATGATAACCAATGATCAGTGTGATAATCAATGGTCAATGTAATAACCAGTGATGAGTGTGATAACCAATGATCAGTGTTGATAAACAGTGGGCAGTGTGATAAACAATAACCAGTGATCAGTGATGATAACCTGTGATCAGTCTTGATAACCAGTGATCAGTCTTGATAACCAGTGGTCAATGTAATAACCAATTGTCAAGTGTGATAACCTGTGATCAGTCTTGATAACCAGTGATCAATGTGATAACCAACTGTCAAGTGTGATAACCTGTGATCAGTCTTGATAACCAGTGATCAGTCTTGATAAGGCCAAATAAAAAAATATGTGTGGTTCAGGTTACCCGACCGTCCCTATTTTATACCCCCGACCCTAAACTTTTTTTTGGACAATTTTCAAATTTCCGGAATTTTCCCCGATTTCCCTCATTGGCTCCATTATTAGTTTTAGTTTCAGCAATGGTGGCCTTCTTTGACAACATCGTTTCAACACGTAGTACAAGTGTTTTGTCAGTTACAAATGTCACCACTTAAAAGGAAGCAATAGTATTATCTCACCAATATCACCAATAGTTAATTCAAAAACATTCAATGATATTTTTGACGTTTGTTAAATCAAAAAAAAAAAAAAAAAAAAAAAAAAAAAACCTACCTACCCTAATTTGTTTGAAGGTGTAACCGGAACCACACATATTTTTTTATTTGGCCTAACCAGTGGTCAATGTGATAACCAACTGTCAAATGTGATAACCTTTGATCAGTGTTGATAACCAGTGATCAGTCTTGCTAACCAGTGGTCAATGTGATAACCAACTGTCAAGTGTGATAACCTGTGATCAGTCTTGATAACCTGTGATCAGTCTTGATAACCAGTGATCAATGTGATAACCAACTGTCAAGTGTGATAACCTGTGATCAGTGTTGATAACCTGTGATCAGTCTTGCTAACCAGTGGTCAATGTGATAACCAACTGTCAAGTGTGATAACCTGTGATCAGTGTTGATAACCAGTGATCAGGGCTAATAATCAGTGTCAGTTTGATAACAAGTTATAAAAGTGATAACCATTTAATACCTGTTGAGTGTTGTTTGGTGTGTAGGGCAGCATGGTTGACACATGGAACATGATTTCACTATTGTTAAAGGTGGTGTACACTGATTGCTGCCCTGTGGAATCGGCTGAAACATAAAACATGTTTACTTATAAATGGAATATTCCTACATTTAGAGGCATCATAACATGTCATAATTACCAAAATTAATGTGCACAACACTCATGTCTGCATGTCTTACTTTTATTATCAAGCTGAGCTCTGTACTTTTCAAAACCTTTCAGTCTGACTTTCTGTCCAATACAGCTTAAGAACTCCTCAAAGGCAGGTCCAGAATGCTCTGTATATCAAATATATAGAGAATATGAGAACACATAAGGACACCATTTAATTATCTTAAATAGAATGCAACTTCCTAACTTAAAAATCTGTATGGTTTTCTGAAAATATTTTAAAAGTTGCTTTTCTTTGAAATGTGAGAGTAAATAACATGAAAAAGTTTCCCCAAACTTCTGTTATGTAACAACTTCAGCTTCAATTAAATCATAGCACATTAAAGATTCTCAGAAGGGAGCTAATTCTACCAATCTTGGCAGAGTACAGACTCTTTTTACAACTGCTGTGCTGTCAATGACTTTACAATTACCTCAATTAACTGATAAACCCCCTCAAAAAGATCTTCAGGATAAAAAGCTTATTAAACATGAGGGCAGGGATTCGATAGGAATTTCACAGTCTTCCCATGATTCATTTATCATCAGAGGAATTTGATTGTAAGACATTCAAAAACAAAGGATAACCAAATCATTCTAAAAATGTAGCAAATTTAGAAGTGGTGTGATTATGTAATATTATCTTAAAAGATAACTGTTTCTAACAGAATGCTATATGCAAGATTTTTTCATGAAGAATACATAATCAACATCATCAGTTGGAATTCAGCCAGACAAAGCACACAGAAACTTCTGGTAGAAGAATATATCTTTTCAGAACTTGGAATTTCATAGAAGCAAAAGAATCTGACCTTTCAGTCATGCCTGAATCAATTAATATTTTTTTCTTTTTACTGAGTTCTGAAACTGGTGATTGAAAAGGAAATTATGGAAAAATATCAAGTGCTGTGCATCTTTCAGTCTTATCTAAACTTGATATTTAACAACATATCTCATTTATTCTATTTCGATTGGGGTGTTCAAGAATTCACAGCCACTGAGTATCCCTCCTCAAGTTCCCAGCTATTTTTGTCTATATTTTGAGATGTTCAGTTTTTAGCTATATAACAGACCATGAACTGCTGGGGAGAATTTCATCCCTGGAGGAGTGTACTATAGATGATAATGGTGCATTCTACATCTCTACTGTATTGTATTCATTTATAAGAATGTGTCATTCCTGGAGATTTCTTTGGTGACTTATATTTCTTTGTTGATTAATTTTTTTTTTGAAAAGTAACCTCAGTTTTAAAGTTTCAGAATTGCAATATGCATATCAAATCCAATTCCTCTCAAATGACTCAATGAAGTACCAGTAATTTAGTTTTGATGATTAACTATAATAATCATATTCATATGACAGAATTTTCCCAAATACATTCAGTGTGCCTGTACTGGCATTTGCTTTTAAGCATGTAGACCTGCAGTATCTCCAAATAGACAGATGACACATAAAACATATCTTCCATTGATGTGAATTGATGTGTACTAATTGTAATGAACTATGTCAACTTCTAGTCATAGCTTATTTGTGAATGGAAAAACTTAATAATAACATTTTTAATAACTTTGCTAAAGGGTCTGGACATAAACATTGTTTTTAAAATGAGAGCACTTTAAATCAATTAGTATGATCCTGTATTTCAGCTTATTATCTGCAAACATATCTGGGTGTAATCATTACTGATTATTTGTAGAATCCCCCCAGGCAATAGGGACAACCCACAACTTGATAAATGTTGGTGATTTTATGCTTCATTGAGTAGACATCATGAACAGTATTATATTACACTGCCTTGCCTTGAAAATTGAGTAAAATTCAATTTCAGAGAAATTCAGACTAAACACAGTCTGTCAAATGATATTAATTCTAGCCACTTCCAAATTACTGGGTTTATGACACAGAAGTTTATACAGTACAAAAATAATGTTTATGAGTCAAATTTTCATTCTTTTTCTTCTAGCACCTGCTCCTGTGCCACTATTCAGTAAGAAAGCTGTTTATTGTTTGCCAGATGGCAGGGGCAAAGACAAAGGACATGAAACACAAACACAGAAATCTCCAGAGGTCACTGACTTCAATCAGTCAATCTAATTAAGAACTGAGGCCCACATGAACAATCTAATAATTGAGAAGAAATGTGTCAAGTTATATGTAGTGTACATCCCAAGAACTGCAGGGGCTTCCTGAAGATATGGATAATTTGCTTTATACTGCAGTATGGCTAGAAGAGAATGATCAAGTTGCTTAAAATTTACCATTTATCTTCAAGAGGTCTAAAGAGGATCTGACTTTGGTAAAATAGACATTTTAATCTATTTCCTTAGTAGTTCATCCTTCTTCATGCATATTGATTTCAATAAACTATATATTAAGCTTAATCTATGATTGTTTTTGCAGTATTTGAACAATATTTGTTTTCAATCATTATTTTAATTTGTGTTTATCACATCTACTGTCTATAGTTTAATGTTCACTACAGTATTCATATCACAACAAAAGCAGAGTAAACCAGAAGTCTCTGAAAAGACTGTTGCTCTGTGTGAACTTATAATAAAGATGTATCTTAACATAGTGTACTTGAGTTCAGTCTTATTGAAATCAGGCCAAAAATGTTGCTGTAGTATTTCTAATGAACTTCATAGAAATTTTTAGTCAGAGTAACCAAAGCAACACCATTTCTCAGAATCAAAATCCAATAAATAGAATTATGTATCTTAGTGTTGTCTACTTTTGTCCACAAAGTCTACCTGAACCAGAACTGTAGGATAAGAAGCATTTTGAAAAAAACAAGAAGTCTGTGAGCCAATGCTCACTAATAATACCCCCGCTCTGATGTGAATACACAAGTTCAGTTATGGACAAACACAGTGATAATCAGGAAATTGACATCGGATTTGTAAAAACTGAATCCCAACATATGGCATGCCTAATCAAAGAAAAAATTTCAAGCATCTGCGATGAGTAGTTGCTGAGAAAACTACGACCAAAATTTATTATGTATGGTACGGACAGACGCACGGATAAACAGGAAGTTGACATCGGATTTGTTCCAAAAATGAATCCTATTATATGGCATGCCTAAACAAAGATTGTGCTAAAATTTCAAGCATCTGCAATGAGTAGTTGCTGAGAAAACTACGACCAAAATTTGTTATGTATGGTACGGACAGACGCACGGATAAACAGGAAGTTGACATCGGATTCATACAAAAATGAATCCCACCATATGGCATGCCTAAACAAAGAGTTTGTTAAAATTTCAAGCACCTATGATGAGTAGTTGCTGAGAAAACTGCGACCAAAGTTTGTTATGTGTGGTACGGACAGACGCACTGATAAACAGGAAGTTGACATCAGATTAGTACAAAAATGAATCCCACCATATGGCATGCCTAAACAAAGAGTGTGTTAAAATTTCAAGCACCTGTGATGAGTAGTTGCTGAGAAAACTGCGACCAAAGTTTGTTATGTGTGATACGGACAGACGCACGGATAAACAGGAAGTTGACATCGGATTCGTACAAAAATGAATCCCACCATATGGCATGCCTAAACAAAGATTGTGCTAAAATTTCAAGCATCTGCGATGAGTAGTTGCTGAGAAAACTATGACCAAATTTTTTTATGTATGGTACAGACAAACGCACGGATAAACAGGAAGTTGACATCGAATTCGTACAAAAATGAATCCCACCATATGGCATGCCTAAACAAAGAGTGTGTTAAAATTTCAAGCACCTCTGATGAGTAGTTGCTGAGAAAACTGCGACCAAAGTTTGTTACGGACAGACAGACAGACAGACGGACAGACAGACAGACAGACAGACACACAAGGGTAAAACAGTATACCCCCCTCTCCTTCGGAGCGGGGGTATAAATATTGACAGACACACAGCTATACAGATGGATAGATGACCAGTAGAGCTCTGACCAGGAGAGGTAAAATGTTACACCGAGTACATTACCATTATTATACATGTCCTCTTCTGATGATTGGCCAGCCTTACAGTACATGATTCCTACTTTGTACGTCTGATTCACCTGAAATAAATCAGTACAATGCTACTGTTACAAGTAAGTTTACAGATTAAATACAATTTAACTTCAGTATCTCAAACAACGATATCTTGAATACCATGTATGTGTCGAAGTAATTTGGAAGTCCCAACAACTTATTCTTTATGGTATTTAAACCGCTATATCTTGAATCCTCAGGTAACATCGAGTTCAAGATAATGAGGTTTGACTCTAGTAGCAAATAGGAAGCACTTCATAGAAATAAATATTTGCAATAATATATATGTAATACCTATTTATTCAACTGTTATGGCATTTTGTGTATTTCACTCAACATTTTACCTTATGTCTAAACCTCAATGCTCATTTGGTAACTGTAAATATTTAGTAGAGTGTATGTCTAACTTTCTTTTGGTCTTTGTATACGTACCCCCTGTTGGTCAACTTTGAGGAGCTGATCCAGGGATTTTTGACTGGATAAGGCCAACTTAAGACAGGAAGTCTGGAGATCAGGGCATATGTACTCAATAACATCTTTGACAGTTGTTGTCTTAGATCCCCCCAGCCGGCTAGCTGAGGTGGGGATGGCCTCCTCCAATATAACACCTCGTAGTGTGGTAAGCTGCAAAAACCATGCATACATCAAAAATAACTCTGAAGGACTTTTAAATTCTTATTTACCAATTGCTTACATGTTATTGATACTATTATTGGTCCCATTTACATAATTTTTCTCTTACTTCACTAGTTCTAACAATGACTCGAAACTGGTTGGAGCCATAATCTGCACGTCCAAGGTTGTTTTCCCGATCCTCCACTTTCTCTTTCCTAATACTGATGGCAACAGGACCAACATTATCATCAATACCAAAATAGTTCTGGTGGTCTACAAAGACGAGCAAACACTGCCAGCTTGTCAAATGAAATTTACACAACACAGAACATTATCAGATTTCAAAGTCATGATATTTATAGATGAATCAAAACTAGTAATGCACTACAAGGAGGCACAAGACCTCAAAATGCACCCTCTAAAGTTCCGGAGTCTTATAAATGTGCATTATGTAATAGATCAAGGTGATTTTAAAAGTACATACTTGTACTTTGTAAAGTATCCAAGTCAAACTTTCAGGTAATTTTTTTTTTAGGCATTTGCTATTTGTTTTACCAAACAGTGGATATGTGGTTTGCTGTCATTGTCCAAATACAGGTACATTCATGAATAAACATGACGTAAGTATTACAATACCCACCAAGACATTTGTAGTTCTGTTGGGGGTACTCCAGAGCTCACAATGAACGGCACCTAACTCAGGGATAGTCTAGGGTCAGAGATTAGGATTAATGTGATAATGTGTTATTACTTCACTCTGTGATTGTGTACAAAACAACTGAAGCACTGATCAGAGGGGGATTCAATGATAGAATAAAAAACCTAGATCTTCTAATGCAACTTTAATCCCTTCCTTTTTAAAGGGAGTTTGTTTGTCTCCAATATACTTAGAAAATTGTCTGCTTGACATGACATGGAGATTTAATGCCTTTATGCTATAAGCAGCATTGTATTACACTACTGGAAGCTACTTGTATAGCAATCAGGAACTCATATATCAAGGTTAATTAAAACTAATACTTCTCAAATCTCAATACTGACAATTTAAAAAAAAAATGTTCTTCATCTTCAAAAGGTATTTTACATGTAGAAATCTTAATTGGAATTGCATTCCACAAAAACTAATAAGAACATGAGGGTTATTCAAATAAAGAAAACATAGCATTATTATCTAGAGACAAGGAATGCTTAATGTAGATCTAAGAAAGAAATAAAATAACTAGCTCAATTTTCTTTCCGCTAAAATGTTAACCTTAGTTTCAACCTCATAAACTGCATGTTAACCTACCACAGCTGGAATGACTTCATGAGTTTATCATGTACATAAATTCTATTTGATCTGCTAATAAAATACACCTAACATTCCTAGATGGGGACTGTTATTTGCTAACATTCTGTAGATTGCAGGGTATTGGGTTTAAAATTCTCTTCAATAGACCTCTGTTCACTTACATTTTAATATATTTTCATACAGAAAAAGAAGGAAATGGAAGAGAATACATCTACCTGTAGACTTAATGATTAGAGGTTAGGATATAACAGTTAAACTTCAGGAAAGTATCGGACTAAGTGGGGGAATCCATGGAGGTTGTGTGAGAACCACTGGGATAAGGGTATCTAATTTCCCACTAATTCCACAGATTCTGAACAGAATCAAATACCTCACAAAATCTACCGTAATTTTAACTATATAACCTGAGGATATTGCACTGATGGCTCATAGTACATTGATTAAATGACTGATCATTCTCTGTTGATTCTTTGACAATTTGATTACTTTTGTGGTTAATGTGTTTCCCCCCCATATTTGATTGATCACAACAATAGATACATGTTCATACCCTCCAGATCAAACAATGAGAACAAAGTTTTTGTGTTTTAATTGTTATGTCCATAAATCATAATAAATCAGCTGATTGAAAGTATTTGAAATTATTAAAAAATAAATCTTGTAACTCAAAAATTTCATAAATTAGATATTTTGAAGTTCTAAACAGTGTACACGGTTTCAACAAAAAGTTCTGTAATTATTAGTTTAACTGTGCAGTCAATTTCTGGTCATTAGTCCTTGGACAACCCCCATCTATTTCTATCCCTTAGTCCATCCTACAGAATCTCCGATAAATGATATTTTTTATTTGAAGAGAAAGACACATAAAAAGGTCTGAATAATCCCCTTTGTGAATTGAGTAGCAGATGTCACATTCCTGGCATACTTCATACCTGGCTATTGATTTACACGGAAAACCCACCACTGCACCTATACATTAGTGCAGGAAAAATTTCTCATTTTGAGACATTGACTATCTTTTTATTCTATTATTATGGCAAACTTTCATAAGAACACAATCTCTGAAATATAAAACTAACTTCAAATACATAAATAATTCATATAATTGTCCTTGACCTTAGAGTGCACTGCAGTGAGACTGTTACTAATTTTAAATCAGCAGGTGCCCTGACAGCTTGTTTGCCCCTCCCCGATCAACTCTTCCTGAGATCCTTATAAACAGGTGATACTACTACAGAGAGGCAGTGTTTACTTAAAAAACATGAAGCTCAGTCTGAACTGGAGATTCCATAACAACTGTTTGTATACCTTAGTCATCAAAATTACTGAAGACCTACAGCAGAGGGGAATGTTTCAAAATATGTCTGTTTGGGTTGCAATTCATTGCAACTGATTTCCTGAGAGTTGTTTCTTCCAGCACCACTTATATGTTACATGTAAACATATATGCATTATTGTGTAAATATTGTGAATATTATCTCCATGTTTATCAAACAACATGGTATTTAGTGACACCAAGGGCTTGTAGCTATCACAATTTATGAATGAAATAAATGCACAGGTGAGAAACATTATATCTACCTAGTTAACTAACTAGTAAAACTGGGCGTGATGTGTGGCTTCCATTAATGAACATAGATGTCTTCCAAAGAGACATAAAAAGGCTCCCAATTACTTTGTTCAACACTGCTTTACAGCAATTGCAGGACATTTTTATGATGAACTACACTTTACACATGTCATATACATGTGTATGTATGTATGTACAGGTCTACTAAGTGTGTTGAATCTGATGACTGCCTATCTGCCTTCATTAAACTTTTCAAGCTAGACATAATTTAGAATATAATTATATATTAAATACTTAATAAATATATATTCACCTAGATATCAAAGGTTTAGATCTTTGACAATAGAGTATAATAGTCTTATCCTTGATACCTACCATATCCATAAAAGAAATGTCTATAGTAGCTGGCACCATGGTCCACATACTCAATGACATGGCCCCGGTGTAATACCACATGAGGGAGGATAAGTCCTGTAGGAGTTGGTAGAGAGTCTAATATAGACAAACCACAACATGCGGGAGATCTTGTGGATGTTACTGCACTAGTTCCTGCAGGGAGAGTATTATTATTGTTTTGGTTTGACAATTTGCCTGTCACATTTCGTCCTAAACTTATGGTTCTTTCCTCTTCACCACCCAGTTCATTTCTGAAAAATGGACATGATAAAACGAGAGCATTTGATTTCCCATCCCCCTCATCAGTATCAGCAGATATGTCTGGGGTGTCCTTTTCCCCAGCCATACTACTTCGCACTTGTCCTGATGCTGCAGAAGCACCTGTTGAGGTATTTTTTGATACATTTGAATCTGATCTTTTATTGATCACCGCTTGTATGTCAAAGCCCAAACTTTGACAATCATAGTGAACAAATGTCTTTTTTCTTAGTCTCTCCTCTCCTATTTCAGAGTTGATTGAGTCCGTCATTTTTGTACCAATTTCAACTTCTTGTTTCCCTCGAAATTTGTTTAGAATGTTGCCTGTTCTCGAGTCATTAGTTATGGATTTTGATCTAGTTTTCCGCTCTTTTCCACCTTTTACTTTCATGCTCTTTGAACGAGGACTTCCATCCACTTCCTCTCCACCTCCCCTGTCTGGTGCAGTGGAACCATTAGAAAATTTGTCACTCCTTGCACCTATTCTCTCCCTATTACTGTCTATCCTGCCCCTCAAGAACTCCTGCATCTGAGCAGGTGCAGGGCTTCTCTGATCCAAGTTTCTATGTCCAAGGTCCTTGACCATTGCAAAAAAACTTGTATCACCACTTGTACTAAGTACATCCAATGACGAAGTGCTCCCATAGTCTCTTCGCATGGAGCTATTGTGAAAATCGGCAGCATCATCAAAATCTATGCTGTCCATTTCTAAGTTGCTATTACTTCTACTCAAACCCTGACTACTCCTTTTGCTACTAGAGTTTGATTCTGGAGACTTGGATTTTTCTTTTGTTCGAGATTTTGCAGATTTCCATTTAGAGGAATGAGTTCCATGAAATGTTGCACGTTGACCCCCTCGGGTGAAACTGTCATTGTGTTTCACAGTACTGTTTGATGTCCCCGAGGAATCCTGAAATGTCACACCTCCCTTGGTTCCCCTGTTTTGGTCTGGGTTGCCATTGTGGGATGTATATATTCCATTAATATTTTCCACAGAATCATAACCTTCAGTTTTCATTGGTGAACCTCTTCCCTGATAAGCAGGAACCACACAGTTCTTATAATAATCCACAGCTCTCTCAGACCGTTTTCTTATAGTTTCCAGAGGAACACGCTCAGAATTTGCCATATTAGTATCCAGAAAACTTCAATCCTGATAAACAAAATATTCACACATTTCTTTATAATCACACATTAAAACAGTATTCCCTACTGGAAATTAACATTTCCCAGTTGCTTCCTTTCTATGAGAGAATCCAACAGAAAAAGAAGAGGCTGTTCATCAAATATTTATCATCCCATTAACAAGTCAATTCAACACTCAAATCCATAATATCACAGATAAAAACTATCTAACAGAGCCTTCAAAGTCTGGTCCATGTGCCTCAAAAATTCCATTAAATTAGAATTCTATATTATTTAAATCCTTCCTTTATCAATTCACTATCTCACAAAGAAACACTGACGTCTGGAATTCTCCTTCTCATACTAAGAGTTCATTCCCATTCCAATCTGCTCTTGTTTTGGAGCGTGCAACATGTGTTTTGGGAAGATTTTTTTTTTAATAGATTAAAATAAATGCCTGTATTCCATCATGGGGGAGCACAACTGACTTCCACTTCCTGAAACCTTCACTCTCCTCCAGTGATACCCTCCTTAATGTGTGTACAGCCTGGCCTGTTTTTTCCCTCAGATGAGGTCCCCTGTCTCCAGCTGTCTGCCATGCTTCCCTCCTCGTCTTCTGTCAGTCAAACCTCTACCAGTGGTCAATACTTAACTAAAGCTGGCAAAAATCTGTAAATAGAAATAAATTTCTTGAAATTTTTACCTTGTTATACTACATTTAGGATAATATTCATCAGATCTTAATTGTTCTGCATGTGAGTACGTTACATTTGATGATCTACCTGAACTAATGAAATGCCAACATCACATGATCTGCAATGCAGTGGAATACACAATCAATATTTACTTCCACCACACTGAATCAAAAGCACAGGCATTTGTATAATGAAAAAATATAAAAATCTGCTAGGTACATACATCATACATGTACCTGTATATATACCAGTGCTCTATGTAGGATCTTCCATACATTGTGATTGGATACACTTTTTATCTGCTGCATGGTTTCTGTTCCCAAGAACAGAAAACACAAAAATTGGATAAAAATCATTATATCAAATCATAAACAATGGGAGTTTCTTTTAATCACATTTTTTAAAACTAAAAATAATGGTTGTTCTCTTTCTTATTTCATCTATCTTATGCTGCAGAACATCAACAATATTATGCTGCAGAAAATAATGCATTCTGGAACAAAAGAAATGCACTTTTAAGTTGTATCTTTTATCAAAGACTTGCATTATTACAAAGTTGAACTCCGTCTTCAGTGAATAGCTATGAAACATTTATCAATTAAGCGATACATGTATCCACTTGATGACGGGGTAAACATTTAAAAAAAAAAATGCTTGAAATACACATGCATAAATAATTCAAAAATGATATATACAAAAAATTATATCTTCACTTCTGCTTTTTGTTTTTTTTTTAAATTTTGGTTTGGTGTGTCCAAAATGAAAGTGCATTGGTTAATCAACAATTGTCTGAAATTTAAAGAAATTAAGATGCATTTTTAATTGAGAATATATACCGCACATGCACATTTTATCATAACCACAAACCAACAATTAAAATCAATTCTATGACAGCTAGTTCACCCAGGCAGTAATTCAATCCTACAAAGGATTAATGAGGAGAAATTATGAAATATTTATGCATAAATATCTCTGAAGTTTATATTTCATAATATCATATTTATGAATTAATGATTGACTACATATGACTAGTATTTATAAATACATCTACTAAGTAAATGATGCAAACCCTGTCATTTTATCATACAATACTGGTATACATAAAAGACTATAATCATGATAATGTTATGTTTGGGATATTTGGCTTTCACATTTTTTTTTTACATAATAGATTCACTAGACATTTTCTTCATTCCAATATTATAATGATAACATACATTAATATCCTATGTATACCTTTTCTCATTTCATTATCTGATAGAATTGAATAATTCTTCATCTAGAAGTTCTCAAGATAAGATTGCATTTTGATTATCTTTCCATGCCAACTCATGAAAGTGATACTTGAGGAGGGAAAAAGTACATACCATACACGTAATGATATGGACAATGAATATTCAATTCACAAAGTTTAACCTTACCAAATGGTAAAAGAAAGGAATAGCTCAAAACCATATGCAAATAGCACTCATAGTAATTGTAAAAGAAAAAAATCATAATATAAAAACATTACAAAGTACTGGCCACAACTGGGTATATGATCACATACCTAATATATATCACTGAAAATCACAGGCTGTCACCCAAACACTGAGCACAGTATGAATAATTCATATCCAGTTTGAACATGAGAACATATTGAATAAATTTATTTAATGTGATTTTACATCACTCGTAAGAAAGTCCTGGGAGGTGACCATAGATCCTGATACACGACAATGAGATGACTTCACATTCTGTCATTACATGGCCACACTCTGGGTCAATCAGGACAATTCACTACAAACTGTTTCAATTGGCATGACAATGATTTTTCCCTTGTATTAAAACCATGAAAATGTTATATCATACTTTAGTTATGACATTGCATATTTTTATCTAGATACATGAGCTTCACAAGTAACAAGAACAAGACAGGAAATGGGCAGTATAGTAAAAATTTAGCATGGGTGAATGTACTTAAGTGTGCAAATCTTAATAACACATGTAAACCAAAGTGGACAGCCTATCACCTCTTCCCTTGTCCTTAGAAGGCATCATAAACTCCCTGTTAAACCAACACATCAGCTTCAACACCAAGTGGTATTAACACATCTACATTATAACACCCCTAGCTCTCACACAAAAGTTAACAAATAGAAAACCTATATGGCTTTTCAGCATTGTGCTTTAACACAGTGGGTCTATTCTTTCCCTGCTTGATTATATTGATGTTGACACATCAGTGATAAGGATCAAACAATTTCTCTAGAATTGTGGATCAGACCTACCCACAATCTGATAACAATGCCAGTTCCCAAACAATGACCCCTGTCCGTGTTCATTTGGAACTCCTTTGAAGGGCTCTATAAAATCACTCAAAAGATTTAATTGCCTCTTGCTTTATGATACATGTAATGAAAAGAAGGCAATTGTATATTTTAATATACATGTACATCTTGTTCATAACACGATACAGTTGTATGCTTGGTGGCTGAAGAACCCCACACAGATGAGATTTCATTGTAAAAATGCAACTAAAGAAAGTAGATACAAAACTATTATACGTAAAAACTATCAACTGATCAAACCTATAAGTGTTATATATGTCTAATGAGTAAATTAGGCAAAGCTTATTATGATATAGACACAAAATGTGTTTACTTGGATTGTTATGACAGGCTGTAATTAATTCATGTCATGGTCTTTACTTGACTTCAGTAAATGGACACAGTGACCCAGGCATTTAGTCCACATACAACTATTGAATATTTATACAAACAGGAATGATAAAAATCTACAAAATCTCCAACTGTCAACCCCTAAAACAAACAAATTGGCTAATATTGCCAGTGAGTGTTTTCATCAGGAAAGCCCTGATTGACCCCCTGTTGAATTTACGATCACCCAGACTAGTAATGATGGGGGCCCTTAGGGTTAAGAAATTGATCTGCTCGTCATGATATTGCTATCTTACATTAGACATCTCCATACTCCACCAGAATTGTCTGTCTATAAACACTTCACACCCCAAGTCTGTGTTACATACTCAAAAGTGAAAACATTAGATCCCCTCACACTAAACAGAAACATGAGATCAGGCTAAATATAAATGTATGTAATCAAAATCTTTCATTATAAAAACATATACCTTAGAAAGCTTTCTTCTAGCACTTTTGTAAAACAGCTCAGTACAAACTTCTTCTGACATTCAGCAATCCTGAAAAAACATAATGACAGTTGTATACACAGATTTTAGAACATTAATTCGGTTTGAATTGAGATTGAACATGTGGCCTCACTATCACTGCATGCTGAGAGAGTAGAGAGCTCAGACTGTCTCTTTTCTCTCTCTAATCACAACATGAAGCATCAAAGATAAATCTCTCCCCATGACAAGTACACAAATCCACTTTATAAATCCCTACCATGAACAAAGTTAAGTTGTTCATTCTACAAAGAAATTTTTCGCATCCTTTTAAATGTAGGGTTCGTGCTTTGTTACTGCAGTGATAGCGTATGCACAGGAGCTATAGCATTCCAACATCTGTCACCTAACCTTAAACACAGTGAACTGCAAGGGTCAAGATATCTTTAGCCGAGATTGAATCATTTTAAATCAATGATTATTTCACCTTCTGTTTTTATACTTACCAACTAAATTTTCAAAAGAATAAAAATCCTCTAATAGGATAAGAATTCTGTTCAGAAAGGAATAAAAACAAACACAGGGATTTAAGATTAGGAACTTTCCGTCCTGCTTTGGTAACTTAGTCACACAAGCTCCTGTACAGGCCGAGAGCTCCTTACAGCCCGAGGCCAGAGCGAGGTTTGATTATGGATCAGCTATCAGTGGGCTGTCCATGAAGGTGGTAATCTTACATCAACACAGCCTTACACACATTGATCAAAATGTTGCATGACTATATCCCTAGTAATTACACAATTAACACTATCAGACACCCAGACCACTGCTCATTAACTAAAACAATCTCCTGTCTAATCAAAATGATATTCTTGGAATGTTGTATCATTTTCTCAATCACACTCATATTTTACTGTAATACAAATATTGCTCAGTCCAACTATAATAATTAAACACTGGACTACACAAAATATGTTAAAACTGGATAAAATAACATGCTCCTACCAGTAATTAAATAGTCCTTCATATAATCAACGGAAAAGGTAAACATAGCACTGATGAAACGCACATTCCACACTGTAACAATTCTTATGCAAATGAGACCTAAATCACTCAGGCAAAACATAGCAATGTTTTCTTTTTTCATGATGTCATGCTGGGATTTTTCTTTTTCATTGTGTACAAATGGAACACACAATCCCCAACCTTGCAAGGGGTTTGTTTGCACAGAGAACATAGAGGATTTTACTAGATAATTTCTTGATTAAATACCACCTGAATATATTTAAATATCTTCATTTAGGACACTTCTGTTTTCTCTTTGACAAGATGTTACCTGTTGGGACAGAAATAGGGTCTGATGTTACTGATAGTTAAAACTCCCATTGTAAGAGCACAGTACACCAATATATATATTTAACATATCTGCTATGATTTGATCCACATGCATCTATCAATATATCAATATCAAATATAGCTTATCATGCTGTCTCTGTACAATACACTATATAACAACACAGATGATAAACATAAATGGTTATGATTTCTGGTTATGAAGTGAAACTGAACAGAGAGGACAATATTAGTGTTAAGTGGTGATTGTGTCTGTGTGATGAAACAAAGCTCTGCAAGAAACAAGCCTCAAAAAACACAGTAAATAATGATTGTGACAGGGGATCTGGTTTATTGTACAATTGAACTAGTTTCCAAAGTCTTCACAAGTTACATGTTACAATACAATATGTAAAAAAGATGTTTGCAAGGTTATACATATATATTAATTGAATATTTGTATGAAAAAAAAGTGTTATCAAATACCGGTATATTTTCACAGTGACAAAACCGGCTTTATAAACAAGTCTTTTTCATTTTATTATATGCCACGTTAAAATGAGTATCTAATTAAGGATCATCATATTTGACATTGTTTAAAAATAAATAATACCTATCTCTCAGTACTATTTTTACTAAATGCCCTCTTCAGGTCTCTGACAATTTTTTTTAATTTGAAATTTAAAATAAAAATAAATCTCTAGGTATTCAGATATATCTTTGTGATATATATATATATACATCACAATATTATACTTTCCTGTAAATAACTTGTTAAAAAACATTAATTGTTACCCTCTGACAGATGAAACCACACCCTACAGAGTGATAGAACTTTGGAACAGTCAACATTGCTTGACAATGGTTGAATAATTTCAAAACAAGAGGCCAAAGGGCCTTAACAGTCACCTGAGTATAATACTGTAACAATATTGTAAAGGATCCATAGAAGTACAAAATAAAACCAATTCTACTACGGTTATTGCAAAGATCAAAGATTATAAAGAAATGCTGCAGCCATTTTTCTCCAATAAATCACAAACATCATCAACAAATTACCCCGGTATCAATAATTTTTAAATTGGTTTGACCCTAATTTTGACTGCTCTTACTAGGAAAAGGACTGAGGCCCCTTTCAATTGTGATGCAAATTAGTGGAGAACTAGTTTACCTGGGATCCTCATACTTTTTCTAATGCGTGAAGTGCAAATAAACAAGAAGTAGCAATCAATTGTGACATAATGAGGCACTTATGTTGACGTTGACATCTACTTCTCTGTATAGGAGTTTGTGCTATATTGCCCAAAAGCAAGAGAAATAGGACAATCAGTGATCAACAAAATAAGGCCTAAAAAAAATATTGTTTGTTTGCACTTGCCGAACGACCAACTTAAAATGTGCCCGACCCAATTTTTTTTCACCTATTTATCAAGAGTTTTCCCCCTCAATTTAAAGTTTTTTGGATATCAAAACTCCGTTTAATTTTCCTATCATAGAGTTTGAGGTTTTATTTTCATATATGTCAATTAGGTGCTTGAATTAAGTGTAGAGTGCAGGTACAAAAACTTTTTCAGAAACCCAGATGTATAAATGCTCTCAGAGCTTTTCTAGCCAAAGACAAACTGTACAATGAAGTTATTAGTAAGATGAAAGAGAGCAATGCATGATTTCCAAATTCCACATCTTCAATAATTTTTACAAAATACATAGACAACCATGGTTTTACAGTTGTTAAGTTTGAATTAAAGTTCGAATATGAAGTGTATTTTGTTATGACAGTGAGACATGCGCTTCTGATTGGGTTATAAAATTCTTAGTTTTTATAAAAATTTATGCATAAAATACATGTCTTATATGACTTTTTTGATAGACTTGTTAAAGAATCCATTATATCGCATATCGCTTTATAAAATATGGTATCATATCCTATAGGAATTTTTTAGCTCAGTACACATCCCTACTTTAAATAGATCTATTTACTTACTTGTTTTCATTAGATCTTACTTGCTTATGTTTTCATTAGTATAAATTATATGCAACAATAACCAGAATTTGTGAAAATTTTGTCTCGCTTTTGCCAAATACTATTTCAGGAAAAAAATGTGTCACAAAATTTGGTGATCTATAGTATGCACTCAGTTGAAGATTTTCAAAGAATTCATGCATTTTCACTAGGCCTGAGTATCGCAAGCTACCTAATGATACAGTATGTATCCTGATACAGTTATGGGATACAGCATGTATCATGATACAGCTGTCAACAATTAAATTAAGTAATATCTTTACATATTCTTGTTTGCTAACCTCCACAATTATAGAAAATATAAAAAGAATATCTTGATACCTCTAACCAAAGTTATTTATAGGTAGACTTGTAGTCTTAGCATTGCATTTTTTCATTGCTACCTTGTTTTCAATCATTTTGTAACATTAAAATTTGTTAGTTTGCATGTAGAGTTTTCAAATAAGACAATTAAAATTAACTTGTACTGTATCATGATACATACATGTCGATATGATATGCGTATCATGAGACCTTGCGATCAATACAATTAATGTATCGCTGTATTGTTACACCTCTAATTTTCACAACAGTTGAATTTCATTATTTCTAACACTGATATCTTGAATACCAGGGATAAGTCAAAGTTAGTTGGCAGTCCCAACTTTTGGCAAGCAAGTTTTTCTGCAACCCTACAGTTTCTTAGATTGATCTCCAAGAAGTTTAGGAACTTCCGAAGGGATCAATCTCCTAAACAGTGGACATACAGAAAACCTTGTTAACCAAAAGTTATTCCTTTACAATTATCTTTATGTGGATTTATATTTATAGCCAAAATAAAAATTTTCATTTCTGCACTGTAAAGATTTATATCCCATTTGGGATATTATATCCAAAATGGGCTATCGTTCCATTTTGGTGATTGGTCCCAAACTGTTATAAAATAAACTTATAGAATTACATATGGAAACTGAAAATAATCTACTATTTGACTTGTTATGCTTAGCATTTAGACTTAAGTTATCTGTATTATATATGGCAAAAATACATATTAAAATCGAAAATACATCGATACTTGTTTTTCAAAGCAATCTATGCCTATGCCATGGAAGTGTTGACTAGTATCAAAACAGTAAACAAGGCACAAATTAGTGAATGATCGGCCATGAAAAACAGGTTTTTCTAAATTCTCTTTTTAAATGCTTAAAAACAAACAGACATACTATCTCCTGAAAGCACTACAATTATAATTAGAATGTGTTTAAACTTACATGTGGTTGTAACATTGTTACAAACTTTTTATACACCAAATATCCTCCATCAATGTTTAAGTCACGTGACTCAGGTAAGTTCCGGAAAGCGCTACCTTGTGTGTAAATGATCCACGGGCACATGCCGGGTCTAACAGACGTTGAAAGCGAGGTAATTCTAGGAAAATGTTTCATTACGTGTTTTTTTTTTAATTTATTTATTGAGACATTTTTTAAAAAATTTAAAACCGATAGGTATGGCGACTCCTATGGTTACACTACTGAACAAAAAAAAAAAAAAACAAACAAAAACAAAAAAAAAACAAAACCAAAAAAAAAAAAAAAATCGTTCCACAACTGAGCTATACTGTGGTGGATACAGAAATTTCAGAACGGAGAGGGGGTGATCAGATTTCAAAAAAAAGAAAAAGAAACAAATATAGTCAGAGGCATCTTATTGAATAAATTTCTTTATTTCATTTTACGTGCCTTTGATCAATGGTCTACATTAAAATACAAACCTACAATCTCGAACTCAAAGATCGTCAGGGGTCCAGTCTCCGTTTGACGGCTACGTGCTGGACCCCTGACGTTGTGAGGATGCTGCTAACACTCCTTGGACCATCTAATATCTGAACAATTTTCATGCACAATGAACAGTTTTCGACTTATAAATAAGTTTAAATAACCATTGAAGCTGCATCTACTGTCTCAATATTCAATTTCAACAAAACAAATTTATCATGGTTTGGTTCCATTGATATATTCAAAAAACTTCCTTAGTTAAAGCTTCATCTAAAATCATCTACGTAATTCTTTAAATATCACTTTAAATGCATTCTCAATTTATACATTTCCTTGAAAAGTGGTACCAAGGGAAGGAACGATTAAAATAATTTGCGGGAAGTTAGACACAAGTTGCATAATAAACAAAACTTTGGGCTAAAACTATATTTATTAATCTTTGAAAAAATAAAGACTGTAACTAAATTTCGAATTTCTCACAATCAGGGACCTTATTCACCAGTGGCGGATCCAGAAGCTCATGTGGGGGGGTTTTGAGGCCCGCAGGGCCGAAGGGGGAGGGCATGGGAGGGGGTGTCCCCCTCCCATAGGTGGGGGTTCGGGGGGCCTCCCCCGAGAAATTTTCTTTAAAAATGGCTCAAAATGGTGCATTTTCCAGCATTTTAGATTGAATCAGTAAGATTTTGGCCACTTTTTTTTCTAGTTGT